ACCGTGTACAACCGCGCCTGCCGCGGCAATCTCACTCACCCATCCTCCCTGGCTCACGATCCACAGTGCGATTGTGTGGCTGGAGCGCAGGAATCCGGTGACAAAGCTGACGACGCGGCCAAAGAAGCCGCGCATTCCGCGCTCAAACACCGTCACCGCCAAACGGTAACCGAAGCACATGAGGGCGATGATACGGCCCCAGTTCACTCCGTCCGCAAACAGCCTGGGGGGAGGGGGGGGCGATGACGACAGACATGGGGAGATGGTTAGACTCTACATGGGATAGATCAGAATCTTTATGTATGCCGGAAGAATCCGTTGAACTATAAAGCTCTTCTTTTTACACATGTCCAGTTAGGAGTTGGCACGGGGGACATGGGGAGACGAGTGACACATGGGAGACGGGGGAGATATAGACATGGGGTAGATGGTTAGACACGGGGGACGTGGGAAACACAGGGAGACGGGGTAGATGGTTAGACACGGGGAGACAGGGGAAACACAGGGAGACGGTAGATGGTTAGACACGGGAGACGTGGGGAGACGAGTGACACATGGAGAGACGGGGGAGATAGTTAGACACGGGGAGACAGGGGAGACACGGAGACGGGTAGATGGTTAGACACGGGGAGACAGGGGAAACACAGGGAGACGGGGTAGATGGTTAGACACGCTGAGACGTGGGGAACACAGGGAGACGGGGTAGATGGTTAGACACAGGGGGACGTGGGAAACACAGGGAGACAGGGGAGATGGTTAGACATGGGGGGACGTGGGAAACACAGGGAGACAGGGGAGATGGTTAGACATGGAGTAGACACATGGAGATGGGTGAGATGTTTAGACACTGGGAGACGGGGGGACGCAGGGGAGACGGTAAGATACATGGGGCATGACGACACGTGGTACATGGGGACAAGAAGTCGGTCAGACACAGGGGTGGTGACACGGATACCTGGAAACGTGGTCAGACACGGTGGGACATGGGGAGACCAGAGACATGTTCAGAAACGGGGACACGGAGGGATAAGGGAGACACGTGGTCACAATGACGATGATGCCGTCAGCGATTTTATTGACGACACAATTGAGGAGGAGGACGCTGAAGCTGCTGTTGATGTTAAAGATAACAGTGACGCTATTCATCCGCACGGTAACACGGACACATGCACGCACAGAGAGGGTGATGAAATCTTGGGTGTGCAGGGTACAAGGGTGGAAGTCGAAGATTAAAGTGCAGAGGGTGGAGAGGGAGCATCAATACTTACCCTAAGAGAAGTTGCCAACCGCCAGGATACAGCAGAGCGAGAGAGAAATAAGTAAAAGGCAGAAGACACAACGGGAGATTGAATTGTAGACAGAGTGAGCAGGTGTGAGGTTAAGAATATCTATTTCATTATCGTTGAACCAATTTATCGTTGCGCTATTGTTAACTGGCTGGGTTGAGGTGACCGCATCGGCAGAATGGTGTGCGCGTTGCACAATTAACCCGGTGACCCGAGTTCGATTCCCGGCCGTGACTAACAAGGGAACACGAGTAAATGTGTTTGTGTGTGTGTGTGTACGTGTGCTTGTGTGCATCTGTATACACATGCATGCACGTCTGTTTGTATGTGCAGATGGATTTCAGTGCTAGGGTGTCTCGTGGTCAACTTAGAATTTTGTAAACATGAACACGATAAAGCCAAAACGCGCCCGGGTCTGGTTCTGGAAATACCAACCCTTTGCACATTGGGTGCATGTTAGCAACACCTGCCCCAACAGCCTGCGGAGGCTGTACGGTGAATTCACATTTGATGTGCACGTGTGTGCGTACTCCAACGGTAGAATAGTGGTTCGCGCACGACGTTACGAACAAGCAGAGGTCGCAAACGGGTTTTGATTCCTTACCCGTACCCGGCCGCACCAGGGTCGCAAACGGGTACCCGTACCCGGCCGGGTACGGGTAGCCGTTCCCTACCCGTACCCTACCCGAAATGAGTGACAAACGGTTACTCACCAGTGACTCACGGCCTACCCGTACCCGGCCGCACCAGGGTCGCAAACGGCTACCCGTACCCGGCCGGGTACGGGTAGCCGGGTATCGGGTAGGGTACGGGTATCGGGTACCTGGTTGCGACCTCTGCAAACAAGGTGTCCCAAGTTTAATTCCCGAACACGGCTAACGCCACCCCGCCCCCTTCCGTGCCGTACAGGAATTAATATATGCTCACCTGTAGCACTTTCCCCAAAAGCCGATATAACACTATATGTTTGTATGGATGTGTCTTCGTGTGTGTATCTGTGAGCGACCCAAGTTTAATTCCCACTCACGACCAAAAACAGTGGCGAATATTTGAAGCGGTCCTCAGCCTCCGCTAGGCATCAAATGAGTACCTGGTGAATCTTAATTTTGGAGCTTTCGTGACTGCAGGAACTATTCTTTGGTTCTTTCGGTTAAGTCACGTCTAAAGATAAAATAATTAATTTAATAATAGCATATAAACTTGCGTGCCGTGCCGCGTCGTCATCTTACTTGCAGCAGCATCACGTTGCCGTCCACTCATTGATATGCTCATTTTTTCTCTGCCCCCTCTCTCTCCACCCCCGCCCCTATATTTAAGGCACCGTCACAGAAACGACCTCTCTTTGTGCCATACGTGTCCTCTCTGTGTCCTTGTGATGTCTGTCTGCTTGTATGTCTGTCTATAGTTTTCTAGTTAGATTTTTGTTGCTATTTCTTTTATGCCTGATGATGATTGCTTGTGTTGCAATCGAAACGTCGTAATATGCTATTAAATAATTTATTATTTTATCTTTAGACGTGACTTAACCGAAAGAACCAAAGAATGAGTACCTGGTGCATTGTGTAAAACATCACCACTGGGGAGACAAAGGCGGCCGACTAGGGCTGGACCCACCCCCTCGTGTGCCGTGCCGGCCTTCATATGTGCTCACTCACAGCACTTGCCCCGACAGTCTATTAAGGCTATGTATGTATGTAGAACTTATTTCGCACTGTACGTAGCCAACCGTGCTAATCGGAGGTGCGGGGAAAGGACAGCAAACTAAACACACAAAGCAGTTGGAAAGAAATTAGTTTTAAAATCTATATTTAAAAGTGCACAGCTCCCGTGGATTCCTATTATAAGGAGAAAGAGCTCATCTTCTTGGTTCTTTCGGTAAAGTCACGTAGAAGGGAAGTAATAAAATAATAAAAATTAAATATAATAAAAGAAAATAATTCTCACGACGTTTCGGCTACAACGCAAGCAGCCGTCTTCTTGGTTCTTTCGGTAAAGTCACGTAGAAGGGAAGTAACAAAATAATAAAAATAAAACATAATAAATAAATAATTCTCACGACGTTTCGGCCACAACGCAAGCAGCCGTTGTAGCCGAAACGTCGTGAGAATTATTTTATTATGTTTTATTTTTATTATTTTATTATTTCCCTTCTACGTGACTTTACCGAAAGAACCAAGAAGATGAATCCCTGCAGTCACGAAAGAAGCTTTAAATCGAAAAAAAAAATGTTTTATTTTTATTATTTTATTACTTCCCTTCTACGTGACTTTACCGAAAGAACCAAGAAGATGAATCCCTGCAGTCACGAAAGAAGCTTTAAATCGAAAAGGAGAAAGAGCGTTCCAGACGGCCGCAGAAGCGCATGTGAAAGCGCCCAATATGGGGGATCTTTGTCTTCGTCATCTACGAGTATGAAACACCCTTCGTACGCCGTGCCGGTCATCGTAGGTGCTCCTCCAAACAAGTAAGCTACACGGGCATTTTCTTGGTTCTTTCGGTAAAGTCACGTAGAATGGAAATAATAAAAATAAAACATAACTAAATAATTCTCACGACGTTTCGGCCACAACGCAAGCAGCCGTCCTCAGGTGGAGAACAGGTCTGTCTTCTTCACCTGAGGACGGCTGCTTGCGTTGTGGCCGAAACGTCGTGAGAATTATTTTGTTATGTTTTATTTTTATTATTTTATTATTTCCATTCTACGTCACTTTACTGAAAGAACCAAGAAGATGAATCCCTGCAGTCACGAAAGCTTTAAATCAAAATTTACACAGGCATTCTTCGTCTTTGTGCGCGCGCGCGTGTGCGTGTATGTATGTGCGTCCCTTTTCACACGCTCACCCCTCAGCCACTTTGTTGAAACATTGGTGCGCTGTCTCAGGCGTGAGTTGCAGCTGAGAGAGGATGCGCTGGAAATCCGGCTCGTAGCGTCGGTTAATGTCGTCTCCCAGGATGGCCAGCTGCCTTCCGACGTGCATGGACGGGCTGCAGACACACAGTATCATTATCATCCAAATCAACAATAGGATCATCAGCATCAATAGCAGCGCAGCATCTTCGATTACACCCTCACTATCATCATCGTGTTATAATAAATCATATTACTGGTATTAACGGCACCACCGGTAACGGAATCGTTGATAGGATAGTCAACAGTACTATCTTCAGCATGAGCAGCAACAGCATTATCATCAGCAGCATAATCTTCGTTTCAACATTGGCATCATTATTAGCAATATCTTCAGCATTATTCTATCAACAGCATCACTGTCATTACCACTATCATCAAAAAGGGTCAATAATTTAACACAACAAAGGCTCATTCCTAGCAGCGTGCTTCAGCCGCACCGAACCTCACAATAATAATATCCAGGGCCTCCCTTGGCTCCTCCCACCCTCAACCAGTATATATACAAGGACTGTTTTCTTGAAATTTCTCTCACTTGATACAGCTATCGTGCTGTGACGGTTCCACCTGAAGACGGAAGCTTGTGTTGCCTCCGAAACGTCGTGATTTTTATTTTATTTTTTTTAATTTTTATTTTTTTACCTACGTGACTTTACCGAAAAAACCTAAGAATAATAATTTAACACTCAGGTAACAGATATAACTTAGAAAGCAAAACAAGAAACATAACTAGAGTTTGGCAGGACATCAAGCTAGCACCTCCGATTAACACGGTTGGTCACATACTGTGCGAAAGAACTTCAACATGCATACATACATACAGATGGGCAAATTTAACAAGGCAATGAAGTCTTCTTGGTTCTTTCGGTAAAGTCACGTAGAAGGGAAGTAATAAAATAATAAAAATAAAACATAATAAAACAATTCTCACGACGTTTCGGCCACAACGCAAGCAGCCGTCCTCAGGTGAAAACCAGGTCCGTCGAGGCGACAGAGTCTGAATGAAACAGCACACGGGCTTGGAGCATATATATAAGCTGGGCGCATTGACAAAGGAATTTGCATATCAACAGGAATTTAGCATATTTATGGGAAATGCAGGAATGTAATTAGTACTGCATATGCATGTGCATTATGCAGGATATTTTTTTTTTCACCTGAGGACGGCTGCTTGCGTTGTGGCCGAAACGTCGTGAGAATTGTTTTATTATGTTTTATTTTTTTTATTTTATTACTTCCCTTCTACGTGACTTTACCGAAAGAACCAAGAAGATGAATCCCTGCAGTCACGAAAGCTTTAAATCGAAATTTAAGGCAATGAAGGCCGATGGAGGGAAGGAGGAAGCAAAGTAGACAGACGATGAGATGGAGGAACAAGAATTTAAACTAGATTTGAAGCTTTCGTGACTGCAAGGCAGAGGTGGCAACCGGGTACCCGATACCCGTACCCTACCTGATACCCGGCTACCCGTACCCGGCCGGGTACGGGTACCCGTTTGCGACCCTGGTGCGGCCGGTACGGGTAGGCCGTGAGTCACTGGTGAGTCACCGTTTGTCACTCATTTCCCAACGTCTTGTCTCTTCTCACAATTCAAGTTCCTAGAATCAACCCACCCGCGCCTGCAACGTGGCTTCATCCCAGAGGTCGCAATCGGGTACCCGTACCCTGCCCGATACCCGGCGGGTACAGGTAGCCGGGTATCGGGTAGGGTATGGGGTACCCGATTGCGACCCTGGTGCAAGGATTCATACTCTTAGGTTTTTTTTCCGGTAAAGTCACGTAGGGTAAAAATAAATAACAGTAAATGTAGCTGTGACGGTCCCACCTGATGACGGAAACTTGTGTTGCCTCCGAAACGTCGTGATTTATTATTTTATTTCTAATATTTATATTTTTATTTCTATTATTTTTATTATTTATTTTTACCTACGTGACTTTGCCGAAAAAACCTAAGAGTAAGAACTGAAACTTTTTTAATTTTATTTTACCAGGTCAGGCCCACTGAGCTGTACAGTTCTTTTTCCCATGCGATCTAGCCACAAATGATAGAAAATGAAATAAAAATTAATTAAAATAAAATAAATCACGACGTTTCGGAGGCAACACAAGTCTCCGTCATCAGGTGGGACCGTCACAACCAGATTTGCTGCATCAAGTGATACTCCGAAACCGTCGTGATTTTTAATTATTTTATTTTTTATAATTTTTAATTTAATTTTTTACCTACGTGACTTACCGAAAAACTTAAGAGTATGAATTCTTTGCAGTCACGAAAGCTCTCAAATCTAGAATTAACACAATATGACTAGCTCAACTAAAGTGGTTATCGCGTGGAAATTATAACAGCAGCTAGAGGACCCAGAGAAAAATTCACACGACCTACAGGGAGGGACAAGAAAACTCAAATATACAGGAGTCAAGGTCGCGGATTCAAACCCACGGCCTCCCTGTCTACTAGGCAAGGTATTAAACTTTCGCTCCTCCAATATCGGCACTGGTTGGCTACGTACAATGCGAAAGAAGTTCAACACACACACAATATATAGAATATCACACCACCACAGAGTATGAATCATCAGAAGGCACGTGACGGATCGGCGAGTGTACCTTAGTGGGTCTGCTGACACCTCCATGATCTCGGGCATCGCCGGGTTGTTAAGAGGCCGTTCTCCTGGCCATCGTTGCTGAGCTCGGTCTGGAAGCGGTGGTACGCGTAGCTACGGAACACATCCTCCGCTTGCTGGGTCTACACTCTCCTCTGGCACGGGGGTGGGGATCAGACGCGGGGAAATATTTATTATGAGCAGAAGCGTCGCTGTCATCGCGATCATCAAATACGTTAAACGTAGCATCACTATCGTCACCTTCTTTGGTTCTTTTCGGTAAAGTCACGTAGAAGGGAAGTAATAAAATAATACAAATAAAACAGAATAAAATAATTCTCACTAATTATTTGAGAATTATTCACTATTATTTTGAGAATTATTTTTTGTGTTTTATTTTTATTATTTTATTACTTCCCTTCCACGTGACTTTACCGAAAGAACCAAGAAGATGAATCCCTGCAGTCACGAAAGCTTTAAATCGAAAACTATCGTCAACCGTCGTCAAGTGTTAAACGGAGCATTACTGTCATCATTATCGTCATCAATACCATCGCTATCATTCATTTAATGCGCTTTTTACTCTGGAGGTCAGTAGCTGCGCTTTATGGGAAGTCAACATCGCATGTAACACGTGTCTCATGTGCAACGACATGGAATGCTTTGATGTTGCTTTGATGTTGCCTGCCGGCCGAGTCGCCCTTGAAAAGCAGCTTCTTAGCGCAATGGACTTTACTCTTACAATAAGCTTCTGTTAATGATCAAGGGATTTATCACTGCTGCTGCTGCTGTTGTTGTTGCTGGTGGGGTCATTACCGGTGTCCGGCAACAGGGTGGACGGACGGCGTGTTTTCTGGAACGGCGGCGTCGGTGGCGGAAAAAACCCATCGTCCCCATCTCCGTCGCCTCCACTCGCCATTTCACGTCTTGAGACCGGGACACACCAGGGCACACTGGGGACAAGGGAGGTGGGGGGGCGGACACGGGTGATACGGTGAGACGTGCAGACGTGCGAGACGCACATGCATACAAAGTCAGACAAAACAGAGGTTGATATGGCAACAAGGAAGAAAGAGTCTTGGGGCAAATGTGGACAGAGACAAAGGGGACAGGAGGATGACACCCACACGGCAGAGGTCGCAACCGGGTACCCGATACCCGTACCCTACCCGATACCCGGCTACCCGTACCCGGCCGGGTACGGGTACCCGTTTGCGACCCTCGTGCGGCCGGGTACGGGTAGGCCGTGAGTCACTGGTGAGTAACTGGTACAAAACTGACACCCTTTATTCAAGGCATCATGTTTGCAATAACCACAACACAAGTAGTCAAAAAATCAAACAAAAAGAAGCAACTCTGATAATGATAATAATATGCACTGTCCTTGAAGTTGATTGGTCCACACCCGAGACGGCTTTCTTTAGAGCCTAGTCCCCATTGGTGTGGACCAGATGACACCAGAAGGCGTACAACTCAAACACAGTGCAATATAAGAGTATTGAAAGGCTCGGGGTAAGCATTTACACTATGAGATCTCTTTTACCAGTGGCAAAATATAATAGTAGGTTTTTACCCTTTTAAACTGGTACAAAACTGACACCTTTATTCAAGGCATCATGTTTGCAATAACCACGGGTACGGTTACCCATTTGCGACCCTGGTGCAGCCGGGTATGGGTAAGGAATCAAAACCCGTTTGCGACCTCTGCCACACGGGAACACGGGGAAATGGGACACGCACCAATAAACAGTCGCCACTAGGCGGCGGTGAAGTCACCATGTTGCTTGTGCAAGGCTCTGGGAACTTTGAAGCGCACACACACAGGGACTGAGGCACGCGATGGGGGGGGGGGGGGGGAAGATACGCATAGGGTAAAAAAACAGGAACTTGAGGACACAAAGGCATAGGGGACGTGAGAATGTGTAACTTGATAATGCAAAGCAACTTTCCTCACATTTTCAATCAGCGCGTAATGTCGGCTACGCCGTACAGATCGCGGATCACGAGGATCGATGAACGAAGAAGTTGCAAGGAAGCGTAGAGGTCGGTTGGGGTTAGAGGCGTGCTCGGAATTAGTGAGAAACCGGCAGAAAAGAGGAACACGCACCGAAAGAGAACCACGTGAACCGGGGGACATTTAATTAGGGACCACAAGAACCACGAGGAAAGGAAGTTGTCCAGGGCAGGAAACATCATAATGAAACTTGAAAAAAACATTTATTTTACCATGTAAGGTCCACTGAAGGTACACAGATAGCTCTCTTTCAAAAGCAACCTGGCTATCACCAATGATTGCCCAACAAAATGACTTATCACGCGGGGATTTATAGCACACTAAATACTCTTTAAGTGCACGTTTAAACATGTGTACGGGAAAAAAACAGGAACTGGGAGAAAAATGCATGCCACCACGGGGAAAGAGAGACACCGCAAACTCCAAATATACAGCAGGCGTCAGGACAGGGCCCCGAACCCAATGACCTCCTGTATACCAGGCGACGTGGTTAACATCTCCTAGCCACCGTGGTGATGATGATGATGAAATACGCAACTCCAAATATACAGCAGGCGTCATGGTCGGGATCGAACCAATGACCTCTGTCTACCAGGCGAAGTGGTTAACATCTCCTAGTCACCGTGATGATGATGAGAAACGCAAACTCCAAATATACAGCAGGCGTCATGGTCGGGATCGAACCCATGACACTCCTGTCTACCAGGCGAGGTGGTTAACATCTCCTAGCCATCGTGATGATGATGAGAGACGCAAATTAAAATGTACAACAGCAAGCGTCAGGGTCGGGATCGAACCCACGACCTCCTGTATACCAGGCGAGGTGGTTAACATCTCCTAGCCACCGTGGTGATGATGATGATGAAATACGCAAACTACAAATATACAGCAGGCGTCATGGTTGGGATCGAACCCATGACCTCCTGTCTACCAGGCGAGGTGGTTAACATCTCCTAGCCACCGTGGTGATGATGAAAGACGCAAACTCCAAATATACAGCAGCAGGCGTCAGGGTCGGGATCGAACCCACGACCTCCTGTATACCAGGCGAGGTGGTTAACATCTCCTAGCCATCGTGATGATGATGAGAGACGCAAATTAAAAATGTACAACAGCAAGCGTCAGGGTCGGGATCGAACCCACGACCTCCTGTATACCAGGCGAGGTGGTTAACATCTCCTAGCCACCGTGGTGATGATGATGAAATACGCAAACTACAAATATACAGCAGGCATCATGGTCCGGATCGAACCCATGACCTCCTGTCTACCAGGCGAGGTGGTTAACATCTCCTAGTCACCGTGATGATGATGATGAGAAACGCAAAGTCCAAATATACAGCAGCAGGCGTCAGGGTCGGGATCGAACCCACGACCTCCTGTATCCCAGGCGAGATAGTTAACATCTCCTAGTCACCGTGATGATGATGAGAAACGCAAAGTCCAAATATACAGCAGCAGGCGTCATGGTCGGGATCGAAACCCACGACCTCCTGTATACCAGGCGAGATAGTTAACATCTCCTAGTCACCGTGATGATGATGAGAAACGCAAAGTCCAAATATACAGCAGCAGGCGTCATGGTCGGGATCGAACCCACGACCTCCTGTATCCCAGGCGAGGTAGTTAACATCTCACAACCACCCAGTTAGGGGGGCGGAGAAGAGGAAGAAGATAAAGCGACGAAATCAGGATGGTGGTAACGTTTGTCACGTAAACAGAAAATTCCAATTCGTTGCGAATACAGCACACCGATACAGCGGGTTTAACGACACGTTTATACACTATGGGAACCTCATTTGCCAGTAAAAATATGATAATTTTACCCTTCTATCTGGCAACAAAACTGACACCTTTTTACAAGGAGTCATGTTTCCATAGACCGCAATACCTGCAGTCATAATACAAACAAAAGACATAACTCTGATAATGTGCACTGTCCTTGGTCCAACACCATGTGAGACTAGGCTCTAAGGAAAGCTGTCTCGGGTGTGGACCAATCAACTTCAAGGACAGTGCATACATTATCAGAGTTATGTTCTTTTGTTTGTATTATGACTGCAGGTATTGTGGTCTATGCAAACATGACTCCTTGTAAAAAAGGTGTCAGTTTTGTTGCCAGATAGAAGGGTAAAAAAACAATTATGACACGTTGATATTCACGCGATCTAACCAAAAAACAACCTGTATTATGGATAATATTGATCGCGAAAGCCTTCGTGTTAAACTCATATCGTTCTTAAATTTGGAGCTTGCTTGTGTTGCAATCGAAACGTCGTATGCTATTATTTAATTTATTATTTTTTCTTTATACGTGACTTTACCAAAAGAACCAAAGAGTAACTCACTCATATCGTTGTTTGTATTGATTGTCGCTGCCCCCTACTGGACATATGTGGGGGAAAATAGCTTTGTAACTCATCGGATTTCCCCCAATTCTGACATTGTATCTATAAGCAGGACTACAATTTTTTCTCTCGGATGCAATGGGGCGATGATTGGCCTGCTTGACACTCTTGCCTTTCCTCCGAGACATTCCACATTCCCGGGGCAGGGCTCAGTTTGTCCAACAAGGCAACCGCAATAGTCAGTTTGACCTTCAAAACAATGCCTCGGTAAGGTGGACATTGGTAGTAAAGCATCGTAGTCAATCGATTGAATGTTTGTTTTCTTACTTCAAGTGCCTGCATGGCCTCCTAAACAAAGTAGGCATCGGCGTGCATTACAGCCAATCGATACAACTTTATTTTATGTGCCAATATCGTCCCTTAATAACGTAGCCGTTGGTAGTAATCATTAGACAATCGATACTTTATTTAACTTTATGTGCCAATATTGTCCCTTAATAAAGTAGGCATTAGTAGTAATCGTTATAGACAATCGATACAACTTTATTTTACTTTATGTGCCCATATCGTCCCTTAATGAAATAGGCATTAGTAGTAATCATTAGACAATCGATACAACTTTATTTTACTTTACGTGCCTATATTGTCCCCTAATAAAGTAAGGCGTTGGTAGTTAATAATTGTAGCAGACCGGGCACGGTAAACAGAGGGTTTGGAGACATTTCGCGTACAAATTACAACAATAACAATTATTATAACACAACACATTAATGAGTTTTAAGGTGGAAAAAATATATACTATAACATCCGATGGGCAAGGGCGTTGTTATATGACCTTTATACACCGTGTATACATGTAAACTTGTGTAGTAACAGTTGCTAATAGTAACAATTGTGTAATACTCTGCGTATATTAGTGTTTTACACGTCGGCTTTGTGTATTTGCTCTCCAACACAACCGGTGTTAGTAACGAATTGGCACGTTTCGTTTACGCGACACACCTTTGACTAATCGTCTGTCGGGTTTAACAAACACATTTATATTTACGCGATCGAACCCCCCCCAAAAAAACTGTATTATGTATTAGTTTGTGTTGTTTAGCGCGTTTGTTAATGTATTTCTGCGGGCAAAAGCCTTCGCAAGGCCGCGTCGTTCACGGGGCTTGGTTGACCGTACTTCACCACGGTGGTAAGTGCGGTAATACATCCATACAACACACTTTAACTTTAACTCTATGTACACACACAGTGGTTTATCACACCGGTAAATATACACAAGCATAGCATTATGGCTACGTTAAGAAATACACGCAAGTATACGCATCTCACAGCGATGCAACCCGCCTTAAAATTTACTTAAAAGTTTAAAAAACATCTTCAGAGACGTGAACATTCGCTCGAAAGATACACACGAAAGACTTTTATGCCCCCCCCCCCAAAAAAAACTAAAATGTAACAAGTTTCATTATTTACCTCAATTTCTCAAGTTCCAACGGCGTCTTCTTCTCAAATCGACCACCAACAACCGAAGATCGGCGTTAAAAACACGGAATGTCACACAAGGAGATGTATCTATAAGACACAATCAATAAACTGAGGTACGTTAGGTAGGGGATTTGTTAAAAGTAAAAACTTTTAACCCTCTTACAACTTAGCCGCAACGCCTCACGAGACAAGATGTGGACAATCTAGGCCGGACACTCAACGAAAACCGTAACACGGATAAGCCTAGACACACCCCTTGCCCCGCCCCTCGTTACCATAGTTTCCGGCACGTGACCCCGCGGGCAGCCAATGAGCGCGCGTGCCCCGCCCTATGCTTATCCAGACTATGCAATAAAAACGAGCGGTGGGAGGGGGTTGGCGGTTAACTTGGCCATTTTTTTTGGCGGGAACGTTTCCTTGAGTGACGTCACCGCCGTAGCCGCCCCCCCCGCGATGATCTCATGGGGTGACGTCACCGCCGTCGTTGCCCCCCCCCCCGCGATGATCTCATGGGGTGACGTCACCGCCGTCGCCGCTGCCCCTCCCCCCCGCGATGATCTCATGGGGTGACGTCACCGCCGTAGCCGCCCCCTCCCCCCCGCGATGATCTCATGGGGTGACGTCACCGCACGTATAGCGGGCGTTGGGCTATTTATAGAAGGGTGTTACGTCATCGCTGATGACGTAGCTATGACTATGGTGGTCTCTATCCACTGCTTTAAGTTCATTTATTAGTATTCTTAGGTTTTTTTTTCGGTAAAGTCACGTGACTTTACCGAAGAAAAAACCCCCCAAAAAACCTAAGAATATGAATACTTGCAGTCACGAAAGCTTCAAATCTAGAATTCATTTCTTAGGTATAGCCCTGTGAGCCATTCGGCTCTTGAATCGGGTGCAACCGCAACAAACAAAAAACAAAAACATGAAAACATCTTAAAGTGAATATGTGACTGAGTGCAAACAGAAAATCCAAGAAAAGACAGCAAAATATTGCAGAAAAAGCACCGTACACCAACGCTGTGTGCAAAAATCCCAGTGGGATGCAAGTCAAACAACAACAACAACCACAAGACAACTTAGATTAAGGCCATCAGTCTAACTCTGTACAACAACAAACAAACATGGCCAAACCAAAAAACTTATCGAAAATCACCAAAATAAAGCCATAAAAGCAATGAAACAGTGATCACTGCTGGATGAAGGGTCCGTCAATTTCCATCCGACCATCACCACGAAAAAACAACAACGACCAATTAGTTTCAAAGACAACGCATTTATTATCAGAGTGTGTTTTTTGTTTGCATTCTGACCACAAGTACTGTAGTTAATGCAGACATGAGTCCTCGTCAAAAGGTTTCAGTTTGGTGTTTTAACAACTTAACACAGCTGTTTTGGTGCCATAACAAGTATAACCCGTAAAAACTAAGTTTTTACTATAAATCCTTTATATGCGTGGCGGCTAGAGTCATCTCGTCCTCTGGCTTGAGATGGCTGCCACCTATGGGTCAGATGATTGTCTGCCAGTATAAAGCAATTGGTAATTAAATATTTAATTTGTTTTCCCTAAACAGTGTAAATTTTTTGAAAAAATTTTCACGAACATTAATTGTCTCGCACAACGAGTCTGTGTGCAAAATGTCAGCTCGATTGGATCACGGGAAGTGGGTTAAAAAACGACCGAAAGATTTGCACGGTCGTAAGCAAGCAAGCAAGCACGCAAGCAAGCAAGCGAACTTAATATAAAGGATTTAAAAAGGGGGAAAACCCTATTCTCACGTGAAGCTGTTTTTGTCAGAGATGTCCAGGAGGGGCACCGAGTGCTTTGAGAAGCATTTAGATCGAGTCGCATGCTAATTAGCCACGGTTGGACTATGTACGGTGCGAAAGAAGTTCAACGTGCATACATAGACTCACATAGAGACCCATAGACTCACAGAGACTCGTAAACTCACACAGAGACATAGACTTACACAGAGACTCATATACTCACAGACATACCCATAGACTTACACTGAAACGCGTAAACTCACACAGAGACTCGTAAACTCACACAGAGACCCATGGACTCACACAGAGACTCGTAAACTCGCACAGAGACCCATATACTCACACAGAGACCCATAGACTCACACAGAGACTCGTAGACTCACACAGAGACCCATAAACTCACACAGAGACCCATAGACTCACAGAGACTCATAGACTCACACAGAGACTCGTAAACTCACACAGAGACCCATAGACTCACACAGAGACTCGTAGACTCACACAGAGACTCGTAAACTCACACAGAGACTCGTAGACTCACACAGAGACTCGTAAACTCACACAGAGACTCGTAAACTCACACAGAGACCCGTAAACTCACACAGAGACTCATAGACTCACACAGAGACCCATAGACTCACACAAAGACCCATAGACTCTCACAGAGACTCATAGACTCACACAGAGACCCATAGACTCACACAGAGACTCGTTAACTCACACAGAGACCGATAGACTCACAGAGACCCATAGACTCACACAGAGACTCATAGACTCACACAGAGACCCATAGACTCACACAGAGACCCATAGACTCACACAGAGACCCATAGACTCACACAGAGACCGATAGACTCACAGAGACCCATAGACTCACACAGAGACTCATAGACTCACACAGAGACCCATAGACTCACACAGAGACCCATAGACTCACACAGAGACCCATAGACTCGCACAGAGACCCATAGACTCACACAGAGACACTTCATAATACCCTCGAGTCGTGTACATGAATCCTGTAATAATCTGTAAAATCAAGCAAAAGCTTAAAAGTGAGCCCAAATTTCATCAGGCTGAGATGTTAGCAGAAGGTAAGGCTGCTAACACGTTAATTACAGGAGAGGGTGCATTTTCCTGGACATCTCTGGTTGTACCAACGTTGAGGCAACGTTGGGATGTGGTGAGAATGGTTGGCCCAACGTTGAGGCAACGTTGGGTTGTGGTGAGAATGATTGGACCAACGTTGAGGCAACGTTGGGCTGTGGTTAGAATGGTTGGACCAACGTTGAGGCAACGTTGGGCTGTGGTGAGAATGGTTGGACCAACGTTGAGGCAACGTTGGGCTGTGGTGAGAATGGTTGGACCAACGTTGAGGGAACGTTGGGCTGTGGTGAGAATGGTTGGACCAACGTTGAGGCAACGTTGGGCTGTGGTTAGAATGGTTGGACCAACGTTGAGGCAACGTTGGGATGTGGTGAAAATGGTTGGACCAACGTTGAGGGAACGTTGGGTTGTGGTGAGAATGGTTGGCCCAACGTTGTGGCAACGTTTGGCTGTGGTTAGAATGGTTGGACGAATGTTGAGGCAACGTTGTGTTGTGGTTAGAATGGTTGGACCAACGTTGAGGCAACGTTGGGCTGTGGTGAGAATGGTTGGACCAACGTTGAGGGAACGTTGGGCTGTGGTTAGAATGGTTGGACCAACGTTGAGGCAACGTTGGGCTGTGGTGAGAATGGTTGGACCAACGTTGAGGCAACGTTGGGATGTGGTGAGAATGGTTGGACCAACGTTGAGGCAACGTTGAGATGTGGTGAGAATGATTGGACCAACGTTGAGGTAACGTTGGGATGTGGTGAGAATGGTTGGACCAACGTTGAGGCAACGTTGAGATGTGGTGAGAATGGTTGGCCCAACGTTGAGGGAACGTTGGGATGTGGTGAGAATGGTTGTACCAACGTTGAGGCAACGTTGGGCTGTGGTGAGAATGGTTGGACCAACGTTGAGGCAACGTTGGGATGTGGTGAGAATGGTTGGACCAACGTTGAGGGAACGTTGGGTTGTGGTGAGAATGGTTGGCCCAACGTTGTGGCAACGTTTGGCTGTGGTTAGAATGGTTGGACGAACGTTGAGGCAACGTTGGGATGTGGTGAGAATGGTTGGACGAACGTTGAGGCAACGTTGGGCTGTGGTGAGAATGGTTGGACCAACGTTGAGGGAACGTTGGGCTGTGGTGAGAATGGTTGGACCAACGTTGAGGCAACGTTGGGCTGTGGTGAGAATGGTTGGACCAACGTTGAGGCAACGTTGGGCTGTGGTGAGAATGGTTGGCCCAACGTTGAGGCAACGTTGGGCTGTGGTGAGAATGGTTGGACCAACGTTGAGGCAACGTTGGGTTGTGGTGAGAATGGTTGGCCCAACGTTGTGGCAACGTTTGGCTGTGGTTAGAATGGTTGGACGAACGTTGAGGCAACGTTGGGTTGTGGTTAGAATGGTTGGAGCAACGTTGAGGCAACGTTGGGTTGTGGTGAGAATGGTTGTACCAACGTTGAGGCAACGTTGGGATGTGGTGAGAATGGTTGTACCAACGTTGAGGCAACGTTGGGATGTGGTGAGAATGGTTTTACCAACGTTGAGGCAATGTTGGGCTGTGGTTAGAATGGTTGGTTCAACGTTCCACCTTTAATGAGTGTGGAGTTTTGCCAACAATAACTGGGCCAAACATTTTTTTCTTGAGTTTTCAAAGAACGCATGAAGTTATAGCATTGCGAAATACTGTTTGCGTGTGACTAATGTGCTAAAAATAAACGTGAGTGATGACACTTTTGTTTAATATCTCACAAACACAAACACATGAGCTCATTTCGCTTGAGAGTGGTGAGTCATCGTTTCTAAATATAGATGCCATCTTCCGCCACCGGAATCGGAAGATGACGCAACCGAACGACGAGAAGACATCTTCCAAAAGTCGGAAGATTCAAACCCCGCCCACTTTCTCCGTCTAATTGATTGAAAGCTTTCGTGACTGCAGGGATTCATCGTCTTGGTTCTTACGGTAAAGTCACGTAGAAGGGAAGTAATAAAATAATAAAAATAAAACATAAAAAAATAATTCTCAAAATAATAGTGAGAATTATTTTATTTTGATAAAATAATAAAAATTAAACATAAAAAAATTATTCTCAAAATAATAGTGAGAATTATTTTATTTTAATAAAATAATAAAAATAAAACAAAAATAATTCTCAAAATAATAGTGAGAATTATTTTATTTTTATAAAATAAAATAATAAAATAAAACAAAAATAATTCTCAAAATAATAGTGATAATTATTTATTATGTTTTATTTTTATTATTGTATTACTTCCCTTCTACGTGACTTTACCGAAAGAACGTGACGATAGTGATGCTACGATTAACGTATTTGATGATTAAACATAATAAAATAATTCTCACGACGTTTCGGCCACAACGCAAGCAGCCGTCCTCAGGTGAAACGTCGTGAGAATTATTTTATTATTATTTTATTTTATCATTTTATTACTTCCCTTCTACGTGACTTTACCGAAAGAACCAAGAAGATGATAAAATTTGATTATTGTTTTATTTTTATTATTTTATCATTTCCCTTCTACGTGACTTTACCGAAAGAACCAAGAATATGATAACATTTGATTATTGTTTTATTTTTATTATTTTATCATTTCCCTTCTACGTGACTTTACCGAAAGAACCAAGAAGATGATAAAATTTGATTATTGTTTTATTTTTATTATTTTATCATTTCCCTTCTACGTGACTTTACCGAAAGAAGCAAGAATATGATAACATTTTATTATGTTTTATTTTTATTATTTTATCATTTCCCTTCTACGTGACTTTACCGAAAGAAGCAAGAATATGATAACATTTTATTATGTTTTATTTTTATTATTTTATCATTTCCCTTCTACGTGACTTTACCGAAAGAACCAAGAATATGATAACATTTTATTATGTTTTATTTTTATTATTTTATCATTTCCCTTCTACGTGACTTTACCGAAAGAACCAAGAATATGATAACATTTTATTATGTTTTATTTTTTATTATTTTATCATTTCCCTTCTACGTGACTTTACCGAAAGAAACAAGAAGATGATAACATTTTATTGTTTTATTTTTATTATTTTATCATTTCCCTTTTACGTGACTTTACCGAAAGAACCAAGAAGAAAATTTGCACTGATGCGGTAAGGGACCGTCTATAAGTGACGTCACACACACACCAATGCTGTACTAGTGACAAATTGGCCACGTTCTGTTTACGTGACAACCCCTCACTAGTTGGCTGTGTCGGGTGGTGGCGGGTTTTGACGACGCAACATTTATACATTTACGCGATCTAACCCCCAAACAGGTATAACCCGTAAAAACAAAGTTTTTCACTATAAATCCTTTATATGCGTGGCGGCTAGAGTCCTCTCGTCCTCTGGCTTGAGATGGCTGCCACCTATGGGTCAGATGATTGTCTGCAGTATTAAGCAATTGGTAATTAAATATTTTAAAACATTTCCCTAAAAAGTGTAAAATTTTGGACATTTTTTTTCACGAACATTAATTGTCTCGCACAACGAGTTTGTGTGCAAAATGTCAGCTCGATTGGATCACGGGAAGTGGGTTAAAAAACAACCGAAAGATTTGCACGGTCCTAAGCAAGCAAGCGAACTTAATATAAAGGATTTAAAAACTTCTATTATGCGTACACACCAAACACGTATAAGATTCATAACAGCGTGACGTCATCTTCTATCGTGTGTCGTGACGTCATGTTCTTCGTGGGGCGTGACGTCATATCTCTCTGTCCTCTCCGGTGACGTCACGGCGGCGCCCAGCGGCATTTCGGCGGCTTTCGAGGCATCATGGCGGCGCCCAGTGGTGGGTTTCTCCACGTGGTTTTCGGAGAGAATATGTGTTCATGCGAACATGTTAACGCGAACAACACGTGTGCACGCGTGCGTAGTGAAGCCTCGCACAGCTCGTTAGCCAGTCAGTTGATTGGTCGGTTGCTTCGTGTTTTTATTAATTAGCGCTGTTAACGAGATTAGCATCATCGGCAGCGCGAATCGGCGAATTGAGTTCCGCCGATTCGCGCTCACGATCAGCAACAACAAAAAGTGGCGAATGTTTTGAACCGGTCATAAGTCTCCCCCATAGGTGTGCAGTGTGTGCTGTGTGTTGTACTGTGTTGTGTGTGTATACTGTGTGTACGGTGTGTTGTGTGTGTATACTGTGTGTTGTGTGTGTACTGTGTTGTGTATACCGTGCATACGGTGTGTATACGTGTTGTGTGTGTGTGTATACTGTGTGTGTTTTTGTGTATACTGTGTGTGTTGTGTGTATGCTGTGTGTGTTGTGTGTATACTGTGTGTGTTGTGTGTATACTGTGTGTGTTGTGTGTATACTGTGTGTATGCTGTGTGTGTGTACTGTGTGTTGTGTATTGTGTGTATACTGTGTGTTGTGTATTGTGTGTATACTGTGTGTTGTGTACTGTGTGTGTGTTGCGTGTATACTGTGTGTTGCGTGTATACTGTGTGTGTGTGTACTGTGTGTTGTGTACTGTGTATACTGTGTGTGTTGTGTGTGTACTGTGTGTTGTGTACTGTGTGTACTGTGTGTTGTGTACTGTGTATACTGTGTGTGTTGTGTGTATACTGTGTGTGTGTTGTGTGTATACTGTGTGTGTGTTGTGTGTATACTGTGTGTGTGTTGTGTGTATACTGTGTGTGTTGTATGTGTATACTGTGTGTATACTGTGTGTGTTGTGTGTATACTGTGTGTATGCTGTGTGTGTGTTGTATGTGTATACTGTGTGTATAGGGAGTAGTGGTGCAGCGGTTAGCGCGCTGCGCTTCGTACCTGGCGAACCGGGTTCGATTTCCGATCGCGACCAACATCAGTGACGTCTGAACCGTGCCTGGACTTCCCCTATGTCGACTGAGCCGACCTAGGGGTTTTCCCTAACGTCAGAACGTTTTTCAAATTTTGTTGCTGTGGATTTCACACCTGACGATGATTGCTTGTGTTGCAGTCGAAACGTCGTGAGAATTTTTATGATGTTATGTTTTTATTATTTTATTATTTCCCTTCTACGTGGTGACTTTACAGAAAGAACCAAGAATATGAATCCCTGCAGCCATGAAAGCTTTAAATCGAATTTTAAGTTAACCTGATACGATTTTTTTTGACAATTTTCCATCTACGATCAGACCACTAACATTTTACCTCCCAAAATTTGTAATTTTCAGCCAAAAAGAAGCACAAAAAGTGTTGACGTCTTCCTGGTTCGACTTATATTTAAAGACGTAGCCATCGGAAACGGCTCCATTTAAATATTCCGTTCTTTTTTATTAGAAAAATGTATGAAATTAATGATCTATAAGGAGAAATGCTACTATATTACCGTTTTCGAATTTTTTAGATGTGAAAATCATTAAATGCGTATTTTTTTCGTTCAAAACTGCTTAAATCCTAAATATCTCAAAAACAATAAAAGATACAACAATGGTTCTCGCTTTCATTTAATTTGGCGTCTATCGCTTTATGAAACAAAAAACCCACACTTATATTTTAAACGGTTTCTGAATGACACAACGCACAAACATGTCCAATTGGTCTTGTTGGTTCTTTCGGTAAAGTCACGTAGAAGGGAAGTAATAAAATAATAAAAATAAAACATAATAAAATAATTCTCACGACGTTTCGGCCACAACGCAAGCAGCCGTTGTAGCTGAAACGTCGTGAGAATTATTTATTATGTTTTATTTTATTATTTTATTACTTCCCTTCTACGTGACTTTACCGAAAGAACCAAGAAGATAAATCCCTGCAGTCACGAAAGCTTTAAATCGAAATTTCCAATTGGCACAACACACTCCCATTCCTGGATATTTTGAAAAAAGTGGCGTTTTTTTTAAACCGCCACTTTTTTTTCAAATTTCCTTGCTGTGGTTTCACACCTGATGACGATTGCTTGTGTTGCAATCGAAACGTCGTGAGAATTTTATTGTTTTACGTGACTTTACCGAAAGAACCAAGAATATAGTATATTGTACTAAAGATTAATTGCCTAAATTACACTGGTCAACACACTTTTTCTGGCACAAGGTATTCCAACGGGTTTAAGGTAATTTTGGGGTGCTGATTCCAAATCTGGCATCAGTGTTTGTCTATCACATCAGGTTTTTGAGATATCAAATATTGCATTTTCAATAAAAACTGCAGATGAAAAATATTGTGGATATCTACATAAATGATATTATAAACACACTATCCTAAAAATACAGCACCGTATTTTAACACTAAAGCAGTCACTGACTCGCAACAACTTGCAATCATAAGTGACGGAGTTAATTTCGGGTAAAATCAATGAAAATGGGGTATGCCGATAGAATACAATGAGATGTGATAGAGCAAATCTGAGATCAGATTTGGAATCAGCACCCTGAAATTAGTCTAAAACAGCTGCAAAAGTCCAGGCCCGATTTTTTATTGTTGACCAGTGTTATTAACAGAAGGTGTGTATCGGATTCATTGCTTCTGTGGCAGATGCTTTCATTTGACAGACGGGACGTAACAGCATAACGCTAAAAGAATACCAAAGAAATATTAAATTCTCTCAAACTCAACTGTTGGCAGTTGCACAACATGATTGCCAACAAGGACACTCGATTTTGATCATGTTGAAGTGTTGTGTAAAACTAATTATTACTGTTTAAAGCTTTCGTGACTGCAAGGATTCATCTTATTGCTTCTTTCGGTAAAGTCACGTAGAAGGGAAATAATAAAATAATAAAAATTCAACATAATCAAATACAATTCTCACGACGTTTCGGCCACAACACAAGCAGCCGTCCTCAGGTGAAGAACAGGTCTGTCGAGAAGACAGCGTCTTTGCTTGCGTTGTGGCCGAAACGTGAGAATTATTTTATTATGTTTTATTTGTATTATTTTATTATTTCCCTTCTACGTGACTTTACCGAAAGAACCAAGAAGATGATTATTACTGGCCGAGACTAATTGGAGAATCCATTGAAATTGACAAAATACAAATCATTTTCACCGCTCTTGACAGCTACAGACTAGTGCGGCCTGGAAGTGTATTATGAAGTAATACATCTTACAATTACAATTCCTTATAGAGGAAACACATGCTAATTAACTGATTACTAATCGATTATATAATTACAATAACCGCCCCACTCCTCCGCCTCTGATCTCTGCACTTGATGGGTTCAGTGATGACATTGTCCCGCTCTATTTAAGACCGGAAGAAGGTGAATTTCTTCACTTTTCTGGCAAAACCGCCCGTTGATGTTGGTTGATGTAATTAGCAGCGAAACGTCCTGCTACTCAAATTGTAAATGTTGTGGATTTACTTTCCAACACTTTAAGATGTTTTCTTGTTCATGTTTTTGCTTGTTGCGGTTGCACCCGACTCAAGAGCCGAATGGCTCACAGGGCTCTAACTAATAAATGAAACTGAACTCAATTGGCGTGTTCTGTTTACGTGACAGACCTTACTGGCTGTGTCGGGTGGTGGAGGGTTATGACACAATTTTACTCACGCGATCTAACGCAAACACATTCTTGCGGAGGGAGCTGGTAGGAACGTTGGGCTGCTTGGTCAATGGCCAGGGTCAACGGCGGCGTGGTGTATTCCGCAAATATGCCCGACTGTGAGGGCGGGCACAAGCCGACGTGAGTAGGTTAAACGTTGAGTTTTATAAGGGCACAACGGGGTGACCAGCCCCTCCCCACCCAGCCCCACCCTCCCCACCCAGCCCTTCCCCACCCAGCCCCTTTCCACCCTTTCCACCCAGCCCCTCCCCACCCTCCCCACCCAGCCCCACCCTCCCCACCCAGCCCCTCCCCACCCAGCCCCTCCCCACCCAGCCCCACCCTCCCCACCCAGCCCCACCCTCCCCACCCAGCCCCACCCTCCCCACCCAGCCCCTCCCTCCCCACCCAGCCCTTCCCTGCACGACGGGACACAATAATCCCCTGTGGGCTGGTGTAACCAGGAGGTTCCTACCAGTAAAACCTTGATCATGAACCTCCTGTTTTATTGCGAGAAAGGCTAAAAGTCTCCTCTTAAATTCCATGCTTTGATACCTGCACAAAGAAAGGTATCCCATGGTTAAGCTGCGTCTAACAAACAAAAACAACTAAAAAGGTTTTTTTTTTTGTGTCCCTCGTTAAATCGGTGAACCCCCCTCCCTCGTTACAGATGACTGGGTGGAGTCTTCGGACTCTTCCGACGGGGAGGAACCAGCGATGGACTCTGGGGCTGACGTGGACCAAGCCCCCAAGGTCACGTGTCTCTTCTGTGATGAGTAAGAACAACAAGTATAACCCGTAAAAACAAAGTTTTTCACTATAAATCCTTTATATGCGTGGCGGCTAGAGTCCTCTCGTCCTCTGGCTTGAGATGGCTGCCACCTATGGGTCAGATGATTGTCTGCCAGTATTAAGCAATTGGTAATTAAATATTTAATTTGTTATCCCTAAACAGTGTAACATTTTGGAAAAAATTTTTTACGAACATTAATTGTCTCGCACAATGAGTCTGTGTGCAAAATGTCAGCTCGATTGGATCACGGGAAGGGGGTTAAAAAACGACCGAAAGATTTGCACGGTCGTAAGCAAGCACGCAAGCAAGCAAGCAAGCGAACTTAATATAAAGGATTTAAAAACGATTCTAATAGCGATCATACTTTTGATTTATTTTTGGGCACTTTTGCAAATGGGCCCTATCGTCACGTAGAAGGGAAACAATAAAATAATAAAAATATAAAAAATTACATTCTCACGACGTTTCGATTGCAACACAAGCAATCATCATCAGGTGTGAAAACCACAGCAAGAAAATTTGAAAAAATTGAAAAAAGTGGCATAAAAAAAGCCACTTTTTTATAATTTTCTTGCTGTGGTTTTTACACCTGATGATGATTGCTTGTGTTGCAATCGAAACGTCGTGAGAATGTTATTTTTTATATTTTTATTATTTTATTGTTTCCCTTCTACGTGACTTTACCGAAAGAACCAAGAAGATGAATCCCTGCAGTCACGAAAGCTTTAAACAGACGAGTCTTGTTAAAAGGTTTCAGTTTTGTCGCCAGAAGAAAGGGGACAAACCCTATTCTTATAAGGTGAAGTCTATAGCGACGGGTCTACACTCACGCTCGCCACGCGTGCCACCACCAGATCGAGTCGTTGTTTTGGTCGTGACGAGCCGCGTCGCTCCACATTCTCTGCCGAAATTGGACCACTCGGCACGGCAATTCGTCCCGTGGCGAGTTGCTAATGCACCGTACGTATGCCGAAAGCGCACCCGTGCCGAACTGTCCCCGATTGCGAATGATCAAATATCGAATTGACGAGGTTTTTCCGTCGCTTAGCTCCGATCGTTACGCTACAAACCGTGGCTGCGTCGCCGGCGCTATGAGTTCGGTCCCAATTCCGAGTGCGTGACTCGTTCGTAGAGTAGACTTTTCACAATATTCCACTTGGGGTCAGTGTTGCCCAAGGCTTGCCGCTCTCACACGGTGGCGACGCGTCTTCCCTGGACGTCAAACGAGCGTGCAGCGGTTACATTCACCCGGCGTTTAATATCTCGCCGATGCTCGTCATGCTTGGTCGGACAAGCGTTTCGAACTCAACGTCTCGGTTTGCGAGTTACGCGCGTCGATGCAATTCGGATGAATTTATTAAATCGTCAAATTTTTTTCGCGGTATTTTACGGAGTTACTTAAGGGGGGTACGCGGTCAGCTGATAGGGCTGCTGTGGCGGGAAGCAAAGGTCGCAACCGGGTACCCGATAGCCGTACCCTACCCAATACCCGGCTACCCGTACCCGGCCGGATACAGGTACCCGTTTGCGACCCTGGTGCGGCCGAGTACGGGTAGACCGTGAGTCACTGGTGAGTCACCGTTTGTCACTCATTTCCCAACGTCTTGTCTCTTCTCACAATTCAAGTTCCTAGAATCAACCCACCCGCGCCTGCAACATGGCTTCATCCCAGAGGTCGCAATCGGGTACCCGTACCCTACACGATACCCGGCCGGGTACGGGTAGCCGGGTATCGGGTAGGGTACGGGTAGCCGTTTGCGACCTTGGTGCGGCCGGGTACGGGTAAGGAATCAAAACCCGTTTGCGACCTCTGGCGGGAGGGTCGGGGGGTTCACATGACGAGCAGGAGGTGGGGGTACCGCTGAAATACCGATGGCTGCTGTGTAGATGTGTGATGTATCGGTGATACGAGCATGTTGATACGTACCGATATGCCTGTGCCGATACGCCTGTACAGACAGGCCTCTACCGATACGCTTGTACCGACACACCTGTACCGATACGCCTGTATAGACAGGCCTCTACCGATACGCCTGTATAGACAGGCCTCTACCGATACGCCTGTATAGACAGGCCTCTACCGATACGCCTGTACCGATACACCTGTACCGATACACCTGTACCGATACACCTGTACAGACAGGCCTGTACCAATACACCTGTACTGATACGCCTGTACAGATAGGCCTTTACCGATGCGCCTGTGCCGACAGCCCTCTACCGATAGGCCTGTACCGATACACCGTACAGACAGGCCTCTACCGATAGCCCTCTACCGATAGGCCTCTACCGATAGACCCGTGCCGATAGGCCCGTACTGCTGGCTACGTACGGCGCCAAAGAAGTCCGACATACATACAAGCGTGATGATGATGAAGCGTTGACTTGAACGACAATGACGACGACGACGATGATGGTGGTGATGGTGGTGGTGGTGTGCGCAGGACCTTTGGCTCGTCAGACGAGACGCTGCTCCACTGCAGCACAGCCCACGACTTCCCTCTCCTGCACAGCCTCAAGGCCAACGGTAAACCTCCGCTTGGCACGGTTGGCTACGTACGGTGCGAAAGAAGTTGAATGTTCATGCGTATATAGACTCGCACAGAGACCCATAGACTCACACAGAGATTCATAGACTCACACAGAGACCCATAGACTCACACAGAGACCCATAGATTCACACAGAGACCCATAGACTCACACAGAGACCCATAGACTCACACAGAGACCCATAGACTCACACAGAGATTTATAGACTCACACAGAGACCCATAGATTCACACAGAGACCCATAGATTCACACAGAGACCCATAGACTCGCACAGAGACCCATAGACTCACACAGAGACCCATAGACTCACACAGAGATTCATAGACTCACACAGAGACCCATAGACTCACACAGAGACCCATAGACTCACACAGAGACCCATAGACTCACACAGAGACCCCATAGACTCACACAGAGATTCATAGACTCACACAGAGACCCATAGACTCACATGCAGACCCATAGACTCGCACAGAGACCCATAGACTCACACAGAGACCCATAGACTCGCACGCAGACGCATAGACTCACACAGAGACCCATAGACTCACACAGAGACCCATAGACTCACACAAACCCATAGACTCAAACAGAGACTCATAAACTCACACACAGACCCATAGACTCACACAGCAGACCCATAGACTCACACACAGAGACCCATAGACTCACACACAGACCCATAGACTCAAATAGAGACCCATAGACTCACACAGAGACCCATAGACTCACACAGAGACCCATAGACCCACACAGAGACCCATAGACTCACACAGAGACCCACAGACTCACACAGAGACCCACAGACTCACACAGAGACCCACAGACTCGCACAGAGACCCACAGACTCACACACAGACCCATAGATTCACACAGAGACCCACAGACTCACACAGAGACCCACAGACTCGCGTAGAGACCCATAGACTCGCACAGAGACCCATAGACTCACACAGAGACCCATAGAGTCACACAGAGACCCATAGACTCACACAGAGACGCGTAGACTCACGTAGAGACCCACAGACTCACACAGAGACCAGTAGACTCACACAGAGACCAGTAGACTCACACAGAGACCAGTAGACTCACGTAGAGACCCATAGTTTGTTGACCTTCCCCCGCACCTCCGATTAGCTACGATTGGCTACGTACGGCGCGAAAGAAGTTCAACGTACGTACAGGTGGCGGGTGGGGGGCCCTCGACCCCAGCGGAGATGGAGCAATGAAATGATTTCACGTGGTGCAGCGGAATGGATTGTGGAACAGTGTGAACGCAATGGGTGGAGAGGGGACCCGGCTTTGCGTTGCGTTATGTTTAAACTTCTTTCGCGCCATACGTAGCCGACTGTGCTTAATCGGAGGTGCGGCCGATGATGATGATGATGCCGCTGATGATGATGATGATGCTGCGTGTGTCCCATTGGAGCCTGCTTGGGTGTGACTCCGTAAATGATGCACGCATTCTATTTTCCAGGCTTGGACTTCTACGACTACATCAGGATTGTCAACTTCATCAGAAACACCGTGAGTCCCCTTCTTGGTTCTTTCGGTAAAGTCACGTAGAAGGGAAGTAATAAAATCATACAAATAAAACATAATAAAATAATTTTCACAAAAATATGAAACGCTTCACGAATTTGCGTGTCATTCGGGAAGCGTTTCATATTTTTGTCAGAATTATTTTATTACGTTTTATTTTTATTATTTTATTACTTCCCTTCTACGTGACTTTACCGAATGAACCAAGAAGATGAATCCCTGCAGTCACGAAAGCTTTAAATCGAAATTTAACCGTAAGTCTCTTTCCGCTCACGTGATTATGTAACACACGCGTGTGTGACTGTATGTGCGCTTCTGTTTCTGTCTGTGTGGGGAGCGGTGGCGCAGCGGTTTAGCGCGCTGCGTTATGTACCAAGTCAACTGGTGATGACGACGATGTTGATGCTGCTGCTGATGGTGACGATGACGAAGATAACGATGATGGTGGTGGTGGTGATGACGACGGCGATGTTGATGCTGCTGCTGATCGTGACGATGACGATGATGGTGGTGATGACGATGGCGATGTTGATGCTGCTGCTGATCGTGACGACGACGAAGATGATGATGGTGACGATGACGACGGCGATGTTGATGCTGCTGCTGATCGAGACGACGACGAAGATGACGATGATGGTGACGATGTTGATGCTGCTGCTGATCGTGACGACGACGAAGATGATGATGATGGTGACGATGTTGATGCTGCTGCTGATCGTGACGACGACGAAGATGATGATGACGACGATGTTGATGCTGCTGCTGATCGTGACGATGACGAAGATAACGATGATGGTGGTGGTGGTGATGACGACGGCGATGTTGATGCTGCTGCTGATCGTGACGATGACGATGATGGTGGTGATGACGATGGCGATGTTGATGCTGCTGCTGATCGTGACGACGACGAAGATGATGATGGTGACGATGACGACGGCGATGTTGATGCTGCTGCTGATCGAGACGACGACGAAGATGACGATGATGGTGACGATGTTGATGCTGCTGCTGATCGTGACGACGACGAAGATGATGATGATGGTGACGATGTTGATGCTGCTGCTGATCGTGACGACGACGAAGATGATGATGACGACGATGTTGATGCTGCTGCTGATCGTGACGATGACGAAGATGACGATGATGACGACGATGATGACGACGATGTTGATGCTGCTGCTGATCGTGACGACCACGAAGATGACGATGGTGGTGGTGATGACGATGGCGATGTTGATGCTGCTGCTGATTGTGACGACGACGAAGATGACGATGATGGTGGTGGTGATGATGACGGCGATGTTGATGCTGCTGCTGATCGTGACGACGACGATGATGACGATGATGACGACAACGGCGATGTTGATGCTGCTGCTGATCGTGACGACGACGATGATGACGATGATGACGACAACGGCGATGTTGATGCTGCTGCTGATCGTGACGACGACGAAGATGACGATGGTGGTGGTGGTGATGACGAGGATGATGTTGATGCTGCTGCTGATCGTGACGATGACGATGATGACGATGATGGTGGTGGTGATGACGGCGGCGATGTTGATGCTGCTGCTGATCATGACGACGACGAAGATGACGATGATGGTGGTGATGACGACGGCGATGCTGATGCTGCTGCTGATCGTGACGACCGCAATGATGATGACGATGATTTTGATGCTGCTGCTCGTGACGACGATGACGACGATGATGATGGTGCTGCTACTGTTGTTGCTGCACATGATGACAATCATCTTACCGATGATGATGATGGTGGTGCTCTTGCTGATGATGTTAATGCTGATCTTGCTGATGATCTTGCTGATGATGTTGCTGATGATGTTGCTGATGATGATGATGATGACGACGACGCTGATCTTGCTGATGATGTTGCTGATGATGTTGCTGATGATGATAATGACGACGCTGATCTTGCTGACGATGACGTGACCGTATTCTTAGGGCCCGTCACCCCGTGACCTCCTCTTCTCTCCCCGCGAGTCGCAACCCTGGGTGAGCGACCGGTTCCTGACGTCCACCCTGGAGGACGACCTTCTGCTCACCCACGGTGAGTGGACGAGCCGCTCCACCGAATCCCTCAAACGACTCCGCAAGGCAGGAGCGCCACGGTGGCTATGAGATGTTAACTACCTCGCCTGGTGTACAGGAGGTCGTGGGTTTGATCCCAACCCTGACGCCTGCTGCTGCTGTATATTTGGAGTTTGCGTGTCTCTCTCATCATCATCACGGTGGCTATGAGATGTTAACTACCTCGCCTGGTGTACAGGAGATCGTGGGTTTGATCCCAACCCTGACGCCTGCTGCTGTATACTTGAAGTTTGCGTGTCTTACCCGTATCCGTACCCGGCCGCACCAGGGTCGCAAACGGGTAGGGTATGGGTATCGGGTACGTGATTGCGACCTCTGGGATGAAGCCATGTTGCAGGCGCGGGTGGGTTGATTCTAGGAACTTGAATTGTGAGAAGAGACAAGACGTTGGGAAATGAGTGACAAACGGCGACTCACCAGTGACTCACGGCCTACCCGTACCCGGCCGCACCAGGGTCGCAAACGGGTACCCGTACCCGGCCGGGTATCGGGTAGGGTACGGGTATCGGGTAGGGTACGGGTATCGGGTACCCGGTTGCGACCTCTGCTTTGTCATTTGTGATAGCCAGGTAGCTTCTGGTAAAATAAAAAAATGAAATAAAAATAGCAGACCAGCTGCGCCCACCGACCGACCCGACGCCACGCCCCTCAACTTGACAACTTGTCGCTCGCTCCCCTGTAGGCCCGGTGCCCTGTGACTCTCAGAGTTTGCGTTCCTCTCACAAGCGAGGGTTTGAAACGCCTGTAAATTAGCTCTGTCCCTCTCTTTCACCGTCCTCCTCTCTCCGTATGTCCGCCGTGTGTCCAGCTGTCTGTCTCTGTCTGTCTCTGTGTCTGTCCGTGTGTCTGTCCGTGTGTCTGTCCGTGTGTGTGTCTGTGTGTCTGTCTGTTTTCGTGTCTGTGTCTGTCTGTCTGTCTGTGTGACTGTCTGTCTGTGTGTCTGTCTGTGTCTGTCTGTGTGTCTGTCTGTCTGTGTGTCTGTCTGTGTGTGTGTCTGTCTGTCTGTGTGTCTGTCTGTGTGTGTGTCTGTCTGTGTCTGTCTGTGTGTCTGTCTGTCTGTGTGTCTGTCTGTGTGTGTGTCTGTCTGTCTGTGTGTCTGTCTGTGTGTTTGTCTGTCTGTGTCTGTCTGTGTGTCTGTCTGTCTGTGTGTCTGTCTGTGTGTCCGTGTGTCTGTCTGTCAATCTGTTTACCTGTCCGTCCGGGGGTGTTGAATCGGCCCATCATCCCCCTAGGGTCGATACAACGAGTACAACTTTGCCGTGGGGGTGATGCGGGGGGTGGAATTCACCAATGGTCGTTTTATCGATAGACTCGCCTCCCTGCCATAGTAATGCGGAATTTCCACCACCGCCAACGCGCGACCCGCTCATGGACGACGCGGCTCGTTTGGTGCGGGAGGGCTCGCGTTGGCTCGACGATGGGCAGTCCCAACTCCCGGTGCTGCGTGTGTGCTGCGTGTGTGATGCGTGTGTGATGCGTGTGTGATGCGTGTGTGATGCGTGTGTGATGCGTGTGTGATGAGTGTGATGCGTGTGTGATGCGTGTGTGATGCGTGTGTGATGAGTGTGATGCGTGTGTGATGCGTGTGTGATGCGTGTGCTGTGCGTGTGCTCCATGTGTGATGCGTGTGTGATGCGTGTGTGATGCGTGTGTGATGCGTGTGCTCCGTGTGTGCTCCGTGTGCGATGCGTGCGCTGCGTGCTTTCTCTTCCTTGTTTCCCCGGCTTAGACGTGGACGGGGCCTTGGAGGAGGAGGAGGAGGATGAGGCGGAGGAGGGAATCCGCCAGGTGGGACTCCGCGACGAGGGTCTCCGCGCTCGGTTGGCGGAGAGGCGGGCGGAGAGGGCTGAGCAGGAGCTCGCCCGCGCGATGGAGGACATGCACAAGATGCGGTACGCGACGGAATCTTTGTCCGTCTGTCCGTCCGTCTGACTGCCAGTCGGACTGTCTGTCCGTCCGTCTGTCTGTCCATTAGTCTGTCTTTCCGTCCGTCCGTCCGTCTGTCTGTCTGTCTATCTGTCTGCCCGTCTGACCTTGACCTGCCTCTCCCCGCCCACCCCCTCCCCCACCCCCCTGCCAGAGGTCGTAACCGGGTACCCGATACCCGTACCCTACCCGGCCGGGTATGGGTAGGGTACGGGTACGGCCGGGTACGGGTAAGGAATCAAAACCCGTTTTTGACCTCTGCCCGTAGGGAGGTGATGGGAGCGATCGTCCATTCGTCTGACCGTCCTTCTGTCCATCTGTCTGAACGTCCGTCTGTCCGTCTGACCGTCTGTGTCTGTCCGTCCGTCCGTCTGTGTCTGTCCGTCCGTCCTTGACCTGCCTCCGCCCCCCGCCCCCCCCCTGTGTGTAGGGAGGTGATGGGAGCGATCGTCCTTTGGTCTGACCGTCTTTCTGTCCATCTGTCTGAACGTCCGTCTGTCCGTTTGACCGTCTGTGTCTGTCCGTCCGACCTTGACCTGCCTCTTCCCGCCCACCCCCGCCCCCTGTGCGTAGGGAGGTGATGGGAGCGATCGTCCGTTCGTCTGACCGTCTCTGTCTGCCCGTCCGACCTTGACCTGCTTCTGCCCCCCCGCCCGCCCCCCCCTCCCCCCCCCGCCCCCCCCCGCGCCCCCCCTGTGCGTAGGGAGGTGATGGGAGCGATCGTCAACGGCACAGCGGCTCCATCGCGCTCCACCTCGCGCGGCGGCGGCGGTGGCGGCGAGGAGGAGGAGCGTCAGCAGGAGGACGAGGCGTACTTCGGCTCCTACGCCCACTTCTCCATCCACGAGGAGATGCTCAAGGTGAGGGGCGGGGGGGGGGGGGGGGGGCGGGGGGGGGGCGGGGGGGAGGGGCAGGTTTCACACAGGGTGTGTTTGTAAATCGTGTGATTTGTGTGTCTGTGTTGTTGTTGTTTTAAAGTTGTGACTCTCCGTGCCATAGACTCACACAGAGACCCGTAGACTCGCACAGAGACCCATAGACTCACACAGAGACCCACAGACTCGCACAGAGACTCATAGACTCGCACAGAGACTCATAGACCCACACAGAGACCCATATACTCACACAGAGACCCACAGACTCACACAGAGACCCACAGACTCACACAGAGACTTATAGACCCACACAGAGACCCATAGACTCGCACAGAGACCCACAGACTCACACAGATACCCACAGACTCACACAGACACCCACAGACTCACACAGAGACTCATAGATTCACACAGAGACCCATATCCTCACACAGAGACCCATAGACTCACACACACACACTCACACAGAGACCCATAGACTCACACAGAGACCTATAGACTCACACAGAGACCTATAGACTCACACAGAGACCCACAGACTTACACAAAGACCTATAGACTGTGGCGTTAGTCCTGTCCTCGGCTTTGGCACGTGGAATGTTTCACCGCCGACCTCCCTGCCGTGTCGCCACCAGGACACGGTGAGGACGGGGGCCTACCGGGACTTCATCTACGGCAACCCTCACCTCTTCAGAGACAAGGTCAGAGGTCACGGCCCGCCGGACCCCCCCCCCCCCCGCCCCCCCCGGTCTGCGAGTCGTCACCCCTCGTCACCGTGTCTCTCCTCGTCCTGCTCACCCCGGCACTGTGCGTGTCGCTGTCTCTCTCTGCGAACTCCACCTCCTCCTCCTCCTCCTCCACCACCTACTCCTGCTCCACCTACTCCTCCTCCACCTCCTCCACCTCCTGCTCCACCACCTCCTCCTCCTCCTCCACCACCTCCTCCACCACCTCCTCCTCCTCTTCCTTCACCTCTTCCTCCTCCTCCTTCTCCTCCTCCACCTCTTCCTCCACCTCTTCCTCCACCTCCTCCACCACCTCCACCTCTTCCTCCTCCTCCACCTACTCCTCCTCCACCTACTCCTCCTCCACCTCCTCCACCTCTGCCTCCTCCTCCTCCACCTCCTCCACCTCTGCCTCCTCCCCCACCTCTTTCTCCTCCTCCTCCTCCTCCTCCTCCTCCACCTCCTCCTCCTCCTCCTCCTCCTCCTCCACCTCCTCCACCACCTCCACCTCTTCCTCCTCCACCTACTCCTGCTCCACCTCCTCCTCCTCCACCTCCTCCACCTCCTCCTCCACCTCCTCCACCTCCTCCACCTCCTTCTCCACCTCCTCCAACTTAACGTTGGCTGTAGTTGGCCACGGTCCCTTACGTTGTGGCAAGCTTCGGGGCCACTTCCTGGAGTCGTGGAGTTCTGCCATTACTAGTACGTTTCATAAAAGCGTGTTTAAAAAAAAGTTTTTTAAAAATATTACTTATTTCAGAAGTGACCCTGGCCATCACGAATGATGGCTTTAACGACGAACTGGCTCATCATCATCATCATCATCGTCATCATCATCATCATCGTCATCATCGTCATCATCGTCGTCATCGTCATCATCGTCATCGTCATCATCATCGTCATCATCATCGTCATCATCATCATCGTCATCATCATCATCATCATCGTCATCATCATCGTCATCATCGTCATCGTCATCATCATCGTCATCATCATCATCGTCATCGTCATCGTCATCATCGTCATCGTCATCGTCATCATCATCATCGTCATCATCGTCATCATCGTCGTCATCATCATCGTCATCATCATCATCGTCGTCGTCGTCGTCGTCGCCTTGCGGAGATTTAGCGCGGCAGCCAAATGCTCCAAACGCCACGCGACCATGTAACCCTCAACCCCCGTCGCCTGGTCTCACCGTGACCTCCTCCACCTCCTCCTCCTCCCCCCCACCTCGTCCCCCCCCCCCCCCCCAGGTGGTGCTGGACGTGGGCTGCGGGACGGGGATCTTGTCGCTGTTTGCGGCGCGGAGCGGAGCGCGGCGCGTCTTCGCTGTGGAGCAGTCGGAGATCGCCTACCAGGCCATGGACATCGTGAGGTCAGAGGTCACCGGAGGCGCTCCCTCCCATCCCCTCCCACCCTCCTTCCGTCACCTCCCTCCCTCCCCTCCGACCCTCCCCCCCCTCCTTCCCCTCCCTCCCCTCCCTCCCTTCCTCCCTCCCTCCCCCTCCCACCCTCCCTCCCCTCCCTCCCTCCCTTCCTCCCTCCCTCCCCCTCCCACCCTCCCTCCCCTCCCTCCCTCCCTCCCTCCTCCCCTCCCTCTCTCCCTCCCTCCCTCCTTTTTTTTGTATTTTTCTTTTAATCAAAGATTTAACGCGAGTTTCCCGTGTAACATTAGTCCCATTGTGTGTTACTGTGTTCATAGACACCAACAAGAAACACAAATCACCCCCCAAAATACCCATCACCAGATCCCCCGCTGCTGCGCTACCAGCACCATAGCGGCGAAGGCACCTGCCTGACCTCCCTCCCCTCCCCTCCCTCCCTCCCTCCCCTCCCTCCCCTCCCCTCCCCTCCCCTCTCCTCCCTCCCCTCCCTCCCCTCCCCTCCCCTCCCATCCCCTCCCCTCTCCTCCCTCCCCTCCCTCCCCTCCCTCCCCTCCCTCCCCTCCCTCCCCTCCCCTCCCTCCGTCCGTGGGTTTGTCTCTCCGTCCGTCCGCGGCGTTCCCGCCGCCGCCGTTGCGATCGCGATCGTAGTCGAGCTCCTAGTGCGTCGTCGTCATCGGTGGTGCTGGCATTGTCATCGTTGTGGTCGTCGTTGTGATCGCGATCGTCGCCACGATCGTGGTGATCGTTGTAATTATCATCAAATCACGATCGTCGTCGTCGTAATAATCATTGTCATCTTCACGGTGATCATGATCACGATCGTCGTCACGATCGCGGTGATCGCCGTGATAATTGTCATCATCACTGTCATCACGATCACCATCACGATCATCGTCGTCGTAATCATCATTGTCATCCTCACGGCGATCGTGATCACGATCGTGACGACGATCGCGATCGCTGTCATCATTGTGATCATCATCATCATCATCACGATTAGCGCGGTTGGCGACGTACGGTGCGAAAGAAGTTCAACACACATCGTCACGATCATCGTCGCCGCCGTCATAATCATTCGTATCTTCACGGGCATCAAGATCGCGACCTTGGTCACGATCATCATCACGAGCATCATCATCGTCGTCGTCGTCATCATCGTCACGATCGTCATCAGCATCTCGTTCCCCATCCTCGTCAGCGTGGAGGAGGTGGAGGAGGTGGTGGAGGTGGAGGAGGTGGAGGTGGAGGAGGTGGAATTCACACCGTCGGCAGTGACATCACAATCGTCGTCATCGCCATCGTCATCATCACAATCGCCGTGGGAAGCGTCGCCATGAGCATCTTTGTGGCGTTATCATCGCAATCGTCACCATCGTCAGCAGAGTCACGATTTACATCGTCGTCGTTGTCGTCATCGTCATTATTGTAGTCATCGTTATCATCATCGTCGTCATCATCGTCATCATCGTTATCGTCGTCGTCGTTGTCATCATCATCGTCGTCATCGTCATCATCGTCGTCGTCGTCATCGTCGTCGTTGTCATCATCGTCGTCATCATCGTCGTTGTCATCATCATCGTCATCATCATCGTCGTCATCGTCATCATCGTCATCATCATCGTCGTCATCATCGTCGTCACCATCGTCGGCAGAGTTACGATTTACGTCATCGTCGTCATCATCGTCGTCATCGTCGTCGTCATCATCGTCGTCATCATCGTCGTTGTCATCATCATCGTCGTCATCGTCGTCATCGTCATCATCGTCGTCATCGTCGTCATCATCGTCGTTGTCATCATCGTCGTCATCATCGTCGTCATCATCATCGTCGTCGTCATCGTCATCGTCGTCGTCAGCGGTAATAGCAGGACCCTCGGCGCATGGCGTACAGTACGGCCTCCTGCGAGCTGCATTTTAATTAAGTGCAGAAATTACCTCGTTAACTGTTAACGAGGAGGTGGGGCTTGATAACATCGGATCGTTAGGCTGAGCGCGCGCGTCCGTCTGTGCGCTCGCTCGCTCACGCGTCTCTACGCGTGGGGGAGTGGTGGGGGAGCGGTTAGCGCGCTGCGCTTGCAGACCCGTCGACCCTGGTAACACAAAAAAACGTTTCTTTTTCGATTTAAAGCTTTCGTGACTGCAGGGATTCATCTTCTTGGTTCTTTCAGTAAAGTCACGTAGAAGGGAAATAATAAAATAATAAACCATAATAAAATACAAAAATAAAACATAATAAAATACAATTCTCAAACATAATAAAATACAATTGTGAGAATTGTATTTTATTTCGATTTAAAGCTTTCGTGACTGCAGGGATTCATCTTCTTGGTTCTTTCGGTAAAGTCACGTAGAAGGGAAGTAATACAATAATAAAAATAAAACATAATAAAATAATATAATATTATTGTATTACTTCTCTTCTACGTGACTTTACCGAAAGAACCAAGAAAATGTTTCTTTCTCTCTCCACGGTTAACATTCAGTGACGAGTCACATCAGAAGTGCTCCTGGGTCTCCCCCCTAGGTAGACTCGGCCTCAAATGAGTACCCGCCGCCACTGGGGAGATGAAGGTCGTGGTGCTGGCCTACTCGCCCGCTTCGTAGCCACCCGCGCTAACGGCACTTGCCCCAAGAGGCTGCCGAGGCTACGCGGGGGATCTTTGCCTTTGGCTTGTTTGGGTGGTGACGCTGCATGTCGCGTGAGATCCGTGGTTCTCTTCCCGGTGATTAACGCGCCCCTCCAAAAACACCCATCGGCTCACTTCCAATAACCATTCGTTTCACACACAGACACACACAGACAAAGGTGGTCGCCCCGTGTAGCCTCCAGCAGCCTGTTGGGGCAAGTGCTGTTAGCGAGCGGCACCTACGAAGGCTGGAACGGCCAGTACCACAACCCCAGTGCTGATGATAACACACTGCACCGGCTGCAATACTCATTTAAGGCCGAGTCAACCTAGGGGACGCCCACAACCGGTTCTAATAATGAGCGGTTGCCGCACAGTGCGCTAACCGCTGCGCCACCGCTCTCAACGACGTACGCACGCCCAGTACCTAATCTACATCGCGTCCGGGCGCGTTCCCCCCCCCCCCACCTCTAGGTCAACTCGGCCTGAAGACCCGACAACTGCTATGCCCCCCCCACACACACACACACCCGTCAAATTAGAGACAAAGGCAGCTGGGCTGCAAACACAGTGGCCTCGCAACCACCCAACCACTCACCCACACATCCACTCACTCATCCACTCACCCAACCACTCACCCACACATCCACTCACTCACCCACTCACCCACCCAACCACTCACCCAACCACTCACCCACACATCCAACCACCCACCCAACCACTCACCCACCCAACCACTCACCCACCCAACCACTCACCCACCCACCCAACCACTCACCCACCCAACCACCCACCCACCCAACCACTCACCCACCCAACCACTCACCCACCCACCCACTCCCCCACCCACTCACCCAACCATTCACCTACCCACCTAACCACTCACCCACACATCCACTCACCCACCCAACCAACCACTCACCCACTCACCCACCCACACATCCAACCACTCATCCACACATCCAACCACTCACCCACACATCCACTCACCCACTCATCCAACCACTCACCCACCCAACCACTCACCCACTCACCCACCCATCCAACCACTCACCCACTCACCCACCCACTCACCCACACATCCAACCACTCACCCACTCACCCACCCAACCACCCACCCATCCAACCACTCACCCACACATCCAACCACTCACCCACCCAACCACTCACCCACTCACCCACCCACCCAACCACTCACCCACCCAACCACTCACCCACTCACCTACCCAACCACTCACCCACCCACCTAACCACTCACCCACCCAACCACTCACCCACCCAACCACTCACCCACCCAACCACTCACCCACCCACCCAACCACTCACCCACTCACCCACCCACTCACCCACTCACCCACCCAACCACTCACCCACCCAACCACTCATCCAACCACCCAACCCACCCACCCACCCACTCACCCACCCACTCACCCACCCACCCAACCACTCACCCACACATCCACTCACCCACCCAACCACTCACCCACACATCCACCAAACAAAGACAAAGAGCCCCCATATCGGCTTAACAGACTGTTGGGGCAAGTGCTGTTAGCGAGCACCTATGAAGGCCGGCACGGTGGCACACGAGGGGGTGGGTGGTCAGCGTCACGCCCGACCGCCTTTGTCTCCCCAGTGGCGATGTTTACACTGCACCAGGTACTCATTTGAGGCCGAGTCGACCTAGGGGAGGCCCAGGACCGATTAGGATCATTGTTACTCGTGTTGTCCGTGAGCGGGAATCGAACTCGTGTCGCCAGGTCTGTGGATGGTGAAGCGTGCTAACCGCTGCACCACCGCTCCCCACACACACACACGCGCACACACCCCCACCCACCCCCACCCACACATCCATCCATCAAGTGGCTGTGGCAGCCTAAATAGGCGCTCGCTAACTGCTCATCAAATTTGGAGCAGAAATTTGTAGAGGGAGGAGAGGCTGCGGGCTCCTGATAAGAGACAGATCGTGAGGTCGATAGCGTTCCCCGTGCCGCGTTCGAGAGTGGGGGGGGGGGGAGTGTGAGAGAGTGTGGGAGAGAGGGAGGGGAGGGAGGGGTGAGGGAGAGAGAGGGAGGGAGAGAGAGTGTGAGAGTTTGTGAGAGTTTGTGAGAGTTTGTGAAAGGGAGGGAGTGTGAGAGAGTGTGAGAGTGTGAGAGTTTGTGAGAGTGTGAAAGGGAGGGAGAGTGAGAGGAAGGGAGAGAGGGAGGGAGAGAGAGAGAGAGAGTGAGAGGGAGAGTTAGAGGGAGGGAGGGAGAGAGGGAGGGAGGGAGAGAGTGTGTGCGAGGGAGGGAGAGTGTGAGCGTGTGAAAGGGAGGGAGAGCGTGAGAGAGGGAGGGAGAGTGGGGGAGAGAGAGAGAGCACAAGGAGAGCGTGAGAGCGCGTGCGGGGGGAGCGTGGGATAGAGCACGGCGGGAGAGAGAGCGTGCGAGAACGACAGAGCTTGCGTAAGAGCGAGCGAGAGAGTTGGAGAGAGTGCGAGAGAGAGAATTAGAGAGAGCGAGGGAGCGAGCGTTACAGAGGCGGTGATAGAGAGAGAGTGAGAGTTAGAGAGAGAGTGAGAGAGAGAGTGAGCGCGCGAGAGAGTTAAGAGGAGAGAGAGAGTTAGAGAGAGTTAGAGAGAGTTAGAGAGAGAGAGAGCGAGGACTCGTTTTATTTTAAATTTTTCCTCGCGCTCTCTGACCCCGTTATTTATTTCTTTGTCCTATTACAAGAGGTGTTTTTTTCTTTCTCGTGTGTCTCGTTTGAAAGCCGAGCCCGGGGGTTATGGGGTGGATGGGGGGGGGGTGTGAAGGTGGGTGGATGAGGTGGGGGGGGGTGGCGAGGAGGGTGGGGGGGTGGGCCAGGCCATTTGTCACCGAGACACCGAGATCCGTGTCTCGTATCGGCGGCGGCGACGACGACGACGACACGCGTTAACGCCGCTCGCTCGCAGCGCCGGGAGTCTCGCGCACGCACGGACACACGGACACACAGACGCACGGACACACGCGCGGACACACGGACACACGCACGGACGCACGTGCGGACACATACACAGACGGACGCACGCACGGACGGACGCGCAGACACGTGCACGTGTAGACGCACGGACGCATGTGGCTCCAATCGTCCGCGAGCCTGCCTTTCCACACGCGCACACACACAAATGCACACACACGCGCACGCACACACACGCAAACGCATGCACACGCACGCACACACACGCAAACGCATGCACACGCGCACTCACACGCACACACACGCAAACGCATGCACACGCACACACATATGCATGCACACGCACACACATACACACGCGCACGTGTACACGGGCAGACGCACACACGCACACACGCACACACATACATACGCACACACACGCGTGTGTACATGGGCACATACGTACGCACGTGCACACGCGTACCCAGGCGTACAAAGACAAAGATCCCCCGTGTAGCCTTGACAGATTGTAGGGGCAAGTGCTGTTAGCGAGCACCTATGAAGGCCAGAACGGCACACGAGGGGGTGGTGGGTGGTCAACGCCATGAGGGACCGACTGCATCCTTTGCACGAAATAGTGCTTTGGAAGTAAAGACTTGATCGATTCATCTTCTTGGTTCTTTCGGTAAAGTCACGTAGAAGGGAAATAATAAAATAATAGAAATAAAACATGAGATTTTTTTCATTTATTTTGTTATGTTTTATTTCTAAATAAACATTTATTGTATTATGTTTAATTTTTATTATTTTAATATTCCCCTTCTACGTGACTTTACTGAAAGAACCAAGAATATGAATCCATGCAGTCATGAAAGCTTTAAATCGAAAGTTGATTGATTGTTTGACCGATGTTATTACACACACCACACCAGGCACTCGTTTGAGGCCGAGTCGACCTAGGGGAGGCCCAGGGTGGGTTCGGACGCAACCCCGACACTGATGATGGCCGTGAGCGGGAATCCACAGTGGGGCTCCCCAGGTTCATAGCGCAGTGCGTGAACCACTACGCTGACACATTGGGTGGTTTAATGTGCAAAGGTGTGCGCTGTGCGTGTACTGTGTGTGTACTGTGTGTGTGTGTGTATTGTGTGTACTGTGTGTGTACTGTGTGTATACTGTGTGTATACTGTGTGTACTGTGTGTGTGTGCTGTGTGTGTGTACTGTGTGTATACTGTGTGTGTACTGTGTGTGTGTGCTGTGTGTGTACTGTGTGTGTGCACTGTGTGTACTGTGTGTGTGTGTGTACTGTGTGTGGACCGTGTGTACTCTGTGTGTGTGTACTGTGTGTGTGTGCACTGTGTGTGTGTGTATACTGTGTGTGTGCTGTGTGTGTGTGCTGTGTGTGTGTACTGTGTGTGTGTGTACTGTGTGTGTTGTGTGTGTGTGTGTACTGTGTGTATACTGTGTGTGTACTGTGTGTGTACTGTGTGTGTACTGTGTGTGTGTGTGTACTGTGTGTACTGTGTGTGTATACTGTGTGTGTGTGCTGTGTGTGTGTACTGTGTGTGTGTGCACTGTGTGTACTGTGTGTGTACTGTGTGTGTACTGCGTGCATGTACTGTTTGCGTGTGTGCTGCGTGTACTGTGTACGTGCATACTGTGTGCGTGTGTACTGTGTGTTTATTGTGTGTGTGTGTACTGTGTGTATACTGTGCTGTGTGTACTGTGTGTGTACTGTGTGTGCATTGTGTGTGTACTGTACGTGTACTGTGTGTGTATTGTGTGTGTACTGTGTGTGTACTGTGTGTTTATTTTGTGTGTGTGTGTACTGTGTATACTGTACTGTGTGTATACTGTGTGTGCGTATACTGTGCTGTGTGTATACTGTGTGTACTGTGTGCTGTGTGTATACTGTGTGTGTGTACTGTGTACGTGTGTACTGTGTGTGTATTGTGTGTGTATTGTGTGTGTGTACTGTGTGTATACTGTGTGTATTGTGTGTGTACTGTGTGTGTGTATTGTGTGTGTGTACTGTGTGTGTACTGTGTGTGTACTGTGTGTTTATTGTGTGTGTGTACTGTGTGTGTGTACTGTGTGTGTAGTGTGTGTATATACTGTGTGTGTACTGTGTGTGTATTGTGTGTGTATATACTGTGCTGTGTGTACTGTGTGTGTACACTGTGTGCTGTGTGTGTACTGTGTGTGTGTACTGTGTGCTGTGTGTACTGTGTGCTGTGTGTACTGTGTGCGTGTGTACTGTGTGTGTACTGTGTGTGTACTGTGTGTGTATACTGTGTGCTGTGTGTACTGTGTGTGTGTATTGTGTGTGTGTACTGTGTGTGTATACTGTGTGTGTATACTGTGTGCTGTGTGTACTGTGTACATGTGTACTGTGTGCGTGTGTTTATTGTGTGTGTGTACTGTGTGTGTACTGTGTGTGTACTGTGTGTGTGTACTGTGTGTGTGCTGTGTGTATACTGTGTGTGTATATACTGTGCTGTGTGTATACTGTGTGTGTACTGTGTGTGTATACTGTGTGCTGTGTGTACTGTGTGTGAGCACAGACAGAACGGGCTGCAGGACATCGTGACGGTTCTGCACGGGCGAGTGGAGGACGTCTCTCTCCCCGTGAAGGAGGTGGACCTCATCGTGTCTGAGTGGATGGTGAGGGAGGACGGACCTGCACACACACACACACTTACACACACACACACTTACACCCACACACACGTACATACACACACACACACGTACACACACGTACACCCACACACACACGTACACACACGTACACACACACACACACGTACATACAGACACACACACACTTACACACACACACACGTACATACACACACACACTTATACCCGTATACACACACACGTATACACACACTCACATGTACACACTCACACGTACACACATACACCCATACACACACGTACACCCACACACACGTACACACACACACGTACACACACACACACACGTACACACACACACACACGTACACACTCATGTATACACACACACACGTACATACACACGTACACACACGTACACACTCATGTATACACACACACGTACATACACACGTACACCCACACACACACGTACACCCACACACACACACACTTATACCCGTATACACACACACGTATACACACACTCACATGTACACACTCACACGTACACACATACACCCATACACACACGTACACCCACACACACGTACACACACACACGTACACACACACACACGTACACACTCATGTATACACACACACACGTACATACACACGTACACACACGTACACACTCATGTATACACACACACGTACATACACACGTACACCCACACACACACGTACACCCACACACACACACACTTATACCCGTATACACACACACGTATACACACACTCACATGTACACACTCACACGTACACACATACACCCATACACACACGTACACCCACACACACGTACACACACACACGTACACACACACACACACACGTACACACTCATGTATACACACACACACGTACATACACACGTACACACACGTACACACTCATGTATACACACACACGTACATACACACGTACACCCACACACACACGTACACCCACACACACACACACTTATACCCGTATACACACACACGTATACACACACTCACATGTACACACTCACACGTACACACATACACCCATACACACACGTACACCCACACACGTACACCCGTATACACACTCACGTATACACACACACGTACACACTCACATGTACACACACATACACCCACACACACGTACACACACACGTACACCCGTATACACACTCACGTATACACACACACGTACACACTCACATGTACACACACACACATACACCCACACACACGTACACACACACACACGTACACACACACACACGTACACCCGTATACACACTCACGTATACACACACACACACGTACACACATTCACACGTACACACATGTACACACACACGTACACACTCACACGTACATACTCACACGTACACACATGTACACACACACGTACACACACTCGCACACACAAATGTACACCCATACACACAAAAAAGACAAACATCCCCCGTATAGCCTGAACGGACTTTTGGGGCAAGTGCTGTTAGCGAGCACCTATGAAGGCCGGCACGGTACACGAGGGGGTGGGTGGCCAGCACCACGCCCGACCGCCTTTGTCTCCCTAGGGGCGATGTTTACTACACACCAGGTACTCATTTGAGGCTGAGTCGACCTAGGGGAGGCCCAGGACTGGTTCAGATAATCGTCACCGGTGTTGGCCGTGAGCGGGAATCGAATCCGGATCGCCGGGTTCATAGCGCAGCGTAGCGCTAACAGCTACACCACCGCTCCCCCCTATACAAACACACACACACACGTGTAGACACACACGTGTAGACACACACACACGTGTTCACGTACCCCGCACGCACGCGAACACGCGTAGCCCACCAAACTGCTATGCGGCTGCGCGAGCTTTTCGTCAACATTCTCCCTCCGCCGCCACCACCACCGCCACGGACAGACGGAGAACTTGCGAGGGCATCTTGCGCCGGACCGACCGCCACCCCCCCCTTGGCACCAAACCAAATTGGGGCAGCCGCGAGCCTCTCCTCACCGTGCCCGCCTGTCCCGCCAAGGATGGGGGGGGGCGGGGGGGGGAGTGCGATTGTCGAGAATGAACGCCCCCCCACCCCCGCTCTCTTGTGTGTCACAGGGCATCGTTTCTCTCGCACCGAATTCCCTCGAGCTGGGAAATCGCTAATTTTAGTGTCGCCAAATATTGTACGAACACCATGAAACTTCCACAGGCTTTTCCAGCAGATTTGCACGTGCACTCAAAAAAGTCAAAATTTTTACAGATAGACCCCATCAAATGGGAAGTAATTGGCCGGGATTGCTCTCTTGTGTGTTACGGGGCAGTGCGATTGTCGAGAATGAACGTCCCCCCCCCCCCACCCCGCCACCCCCCCCCTCCTCGCCAGGACTTTACCGGGACGAGTGCCGAGGGGGCAGAAATGTTCCAGCCGTCCCGTTCGTCGTCGTCGTTAGAATCGGCGCGTTCTCCACCCCCCCCCCCCCCCCCACTGGTCCCCCTGGGGGGGGCGGGGGGGGGGGGGTACTGCTCAGGGCATCCTCCAAATCTTGCGGAACTCTGGTCCTGTGGGCCAGGCCGTTGTCACGTTGATTCGGAGGAATTCGATGAGCCGTTAAGCTCTTTTTTAAAAATATGATAACGCAGCCTGCACGCAGCAGCCCCTCGCACATCTGTGGGTCTCTGTGTGAGTCTGTGGGTCTCTGTGTGAGTCTGTGGGCCTCTGTGTGAGTCTGTGGGTCTTTGTGTGGGTCTCTGTGTGAGTCTATGGGTCTTTGTGTGAGTCTGTGAGTCTCTATGTGAGTCTGTGGGTCTCTGTGTGAGTCTGTGGGTGTCTGTGTGAGTCTGTGGGTCTCTGTGTGAGTCTGTGGGTCTCTTTGTGGGTCTGTGGGGGTCTGTGTGAGTCTATGGGTCTCTGCGTGAGTCTATGGGTCTCTGTGTGAGTCTGTGGGTCTCTGTGTGAGTCTGTGGGTCTCTGTGTGAGTCGGTGGGTCTCTGTGTGAGTCTGTGGGTCTCTGTGTGAGTCTATGGGTCTCTGTGAGTCTGTGGGTCTCTGTGTGAGTCTGTGGGTCTCTGTGTAAGTCTGTGGGTCTCTGTGTGAGTCTGTGGGTCTCTGTGTGAGTCTGTGGGTCTCTGTGTGAGTCTGTGGGTCTCTGCGTGAGTCTGTGGGTTTCTGTGTGAGTCTGTGGGTCTCTGTGTGAGTCTGTGGGTCTCTGTGTGAGTCTGTGGGTCTCTGCGTGAGTCTGTGGGTCTCTGTGTGGGTCTCTGTGTGAGTCTCTGTGTGAGTCTGTGGGTCTCTGTGTGAGTATGTGGGTCTCTGAGTGAGTCTGTGGGTCTCTGTGTGAGTCTGTGGGTCTCTGTGTGAGTCTGTGGGTCTCTGTGTGTGTCTGTGGGTCTCTGTGTGGGTCTCTGTGTGAGTCTGTGGGTCTCTGTGTGAGTCTGTGAGTCTCTGTGTGGGTCTCGTTGTACGTCTGTGGGTCTCTGCGTGAGTCTGTGGGTCTCTGTGTGGGTCTCTGTGTGAGTCTGTGGGTCTCTGTGTAAGTCTGTGAGTCTCTGTGTGCGTCTCTGTGTGAGTCTGTGGGTCTCTGTGTGAGTCTGTGGGTTTCTGTGTGAGTCTGTGAGTCTCTGTGTGGGTCTCTGTGTGAGTCTGTGAGTCTCTGTGTGAGTCTATGGGTCTCTGTGTGAGTCTGTGGGTTTCTGTGTGAGTCTGTGGGTCTCTGTGTGAGTCTGTGGGTTTCTTTGTGAGTCTGTGGGTCTCTGTGTGAGTCTGTGGGTGTCTGTGTGAGTCTGTGGGTCTCTGTGTGAGTCTGTGGGTCTCTGTGTGAGTCTGTGGCTCTCTGTGTGAGTCTGTGGGTCTCTGTGTCTGTGGGTGTCTGTGTGAGTATGTGGGTGTCTGTGCGAGTCGGTGGGTCTCTGTGTGAGTCTGTGGGTCTCTGTGTGAGTCTGTGGGTCTCTGTGTGAGTCTGTGGGTCTCTGTGTGAGTCTGTGGGTCTCTGTGTGAGTCTGTGGGTCTCTGTGTGAGTCTGGGTTTCTGTGTGAGTCTGGGTTTCTGTGTGAGTCTATGGGTCTCTGTGTGAGTCTGTGGGTCTCTGTGTGGGTCTGTGGGTTTCTGTGTGAGTCTGTAGGTCTCTGTGTGAGTCTGTGAGTCTCTGTGTGAGTCAATGGGTCTCTGTGTGAGTCTGTGGGTCTCTGCGTGAGTCTGTGGGTCTCTGTGTGAGTCTGTGGGTCTCTGCGTGAGTCTGTGGGTTTCTGTGTGAGTCTGTGGGTCTCTGTGTGAGTCTGTGGATCTCTGCGTGAGTGTGGGTCTCTGTGACGATTATCTGAACCAGTCCTGGGCCTCCCCTAGGTCGACTCAGCCTCAAATGAGTACCCGGTGCGGTGGGTAGTAAATATCGCCACTGTGATGCTGGCCACCCACCCACCCACCCACCCCCTCGTGTGCCGTGCCGGCCTTCATAGGTGCTGGCTAACAGCACTTGCCCCTACAGTGTGTTGATGCTATACGGGGGATCTTTGTCTCTTGTGTGTGTCAGGGCTACTTCCTGCTCTTCGAGTCGATGCTGGACTCGGTGTTGGTGGCACGAGACCGCTGGCTGTCGCCTCGAGGAGCAGGTGAGACCCCGGGGGGGACCTGTGTGTGTGTGTGTGTGCACCTGTGTGTGTGTACTTTGTGTGTGTGTCAATGTGTGTGTTTATCTCAGTGTATGTATGTGTGTATCTCAGTGTGTGTACTCGTGTGTGTACCTGTGTGTGTACTCGTGTGTGTGCACCTGTGTGTGTGTACTGTGTGTGTGTGTATCTCAGTGTGTGTGTATTTCAGTGTGTGTGCACCTGTGTGTGTGTGCACCTGTGTGTGTGTGTGTGCACCTGTGTGTGTGTGTATCTCTGTGTGTATCTCAGTGTGTGTGTGTATCTCTGTGTGTATCTTAGTGTGTGTATCTCTGTGTGTTTCTCTGTGTGTGTGTATCTCTCTCTGTGTGTATCTCAGTGTGTGTGTATCTCTCTGTGTGTATCTCTCTGTGTGTATCTCTGCGTGTGTATTTCAGTGTGTGTGTGTCTCTGTGTGTATCTTAGTGTGTGTGTATCTCAGTGTGTGTATCTCAGCGTGTGCATATCTCTGTGTGTATCTCAGTGTGTGTGTGTATGTGTATCTCAGTGTGTGTGTGTGTGTGTATCTCTGTGTGTGTGTGTATCTCTCTGTGTGTGAATCTCAGTGTGTGTGTGTATCTCTGTGTGTATCTCTGTGTGTGTGTATCTCTCTGTGTGTGAATCTCCGTGTGTGTGTGTATCTCAGTGTGTATATCTCTGCGTGTATCTCTCTCTGTATCTCAGTGTGTGTGTATCTGTGTGTGTGTATCTCTGTGTGTGTGTGTATCTTCGTGTATCTCTCTCTGTATCTCAGTGTGTGTGTCTCTGTGTGTCTCTGTGTGTATCTCAGTGTATATCTGTGTGTGTGTATCTCAGTGTGTGTGTGTATCTGTGTGTCTCTGTGTGTATCTCAGTGTATATCTGTGTGTGTGTATCTCTGTGTGTGTGTGTATCTGTGTGTCTCTGTGTGTATCTCAGTGTATATCTGTGTGTGTGTATCTCTGTGTGTGTGTGTATCTGTGTGTCTCTGTGTGTATCTCAGTGTATATCTGTGTGTGTGTATCTCCGTGTGTATATCTCTGCGTGTATCTCTCTCTATCTCAGTGTACCCGGACGTGTGCACGCTGCGCGTGGCGGCTCTGTGCGACGAGGCGTCCCACGCGTCGCGTGTCGCCTACTGGGGCGACGTCTACGGCTTCCGCATGGCCTCCATGCTCGCCCCGCTGCTCGCTGAGCCCTCGGTGGAGCGCGTCGCGCCGGAGAGACTCGCCTCCCAGCCGCACGAGGTCAAGGTACGCTCGCACATGTGTGTGTACGTGCGTGTGTACGTGTGAGACTTGCCGATGACTGGTACCAGCGGTGTCAAGATCGGCCTCTGTGGAGGAGGCTCGTGAAGGACGCTACTGGGCAGTTGGAGGCAGTCGCCCTACAACAACAACGGAGGGCGGAGGAGCGACGCTCACAACAACGAGCGGAGCGCCGGGTGGCTAAAGCACAGCTAGTTGGTACAGTAGGGGGCACAGGTGGTGCATCAGCCAGTCATCTCGGTCATCTCGGTCAGTCGACCCGTGGCACCTGCTGGGTCTGCCCCGTGACCTCCTGCCAGCGGGCGTTCGACACTTCACGTGGCCTCAAGGTGCACTTGGCCTGGCACAAGCGTCGTGGTGACGTCACCGCCACTTAGTAGCGAATGGCGGTTGTTGTTGTTGTGTGTTCACGTGTGCCTGCATGTACGTACACGTGTGTGCGTGTGTGTGTGTTCACGTGTGCCTGCATGTACGTACATGTGTGTGCGTGTGTACGTGTGTGTGGGTGTGTGTGGGTGTGTGTGTTCACGTGTGCCTGCATGTACGTACACGTGTGTACGTGTGTACGTGTACGTGTGTGTTCACGTGTGCCTGCATGTATGTACGCGTGTGTGTGTGTGCGTGCGTGTGTGCTTGCGTGTGTGTGTGTGCGTGTGTGCTTGCGCATGTGTGTGTGCCTTCCTTTGCACACCACCAATCACCAGACCCTGAAAGTAACTTTCACTCTGTGTCTCCATGTCCCCGTGTCTCCGTGTCTCCGTTTCCCCGTGTCCCCGTGTCCCCGTGTCTCCGTGTCCCCGTGTCTCCGTGTCCCCGTGTCTCCGTGTCCCCGTGTCTCCGTGTCCCCGTGTCCCCGTGTCCCCGTGTCTCCGTGTCCCGGTGTCTCCGTGTCCCCGTGTCCCCGTGTCTCCGTGTCCCCGTGTCCCCGTGTCCCCGTGTCCCCGTGTCCCCGTGTCCCCGTGTCTCCGTGTCCCCGTGTCTCCGTGTCCCCGTGTCCCCGTGTCCCCGTGTCCCCGTGTCTCCGTGTCCCCGTGTCTCCGTGTCTCCGTGTCCCCGTGTCCCCGTGTCTCCGTGTCTCCGTGTCCCCGTGTCTCCGTGTCCCCGTGTCTCCGTGTCCCCGTGTCCCCGTGTCTCCATGTCTCCGTGTCTCCGTGTCCCCGTGTCTCTTCCGTGTCCCCGTGTCCCCGTGTCTCCGTGTCCCCGTGTCCTTGTTCCCGTGTCCCCGTGTCTCCGTGTCCCCGTTGTCTCCGTGTCCCCGTGTCTCCGTGTCCCCGTGTCTCCGTGTCCCCGTGTCCCCGTGTCCCCGTGTCCCCGTGTCTCCGTGTCCCCGTGTCTCCGTGTCCCCGTGTCTCCGTGTCCCCGTGTCTCCGTGTCCCCGTGTCCTCCGTGTCCCCGTGTTTCCGTGTCCCCGTGTCTCCGTGTCCCCGTGTCTCCGTGTCCCCGTGTCTCCGTGTCCCCGTGTCTCCGTGTCCCCGTGTCTCTGTGTCTCCGTGTCCCCGTGTCCCCGTGTCTCCGTGTCCCCGTGTCTCTGTGTCCCCGTGTCCCGTGTCTCCGTGTCCCCGTGTCTCCGTGTCCCCGTGTCCCCGTGTCTCCGTGTCCCCGTGTCTCTGTGTCCCCGTGTCTCCGTGTCCCCGTGTCCCCGTGTCTCTGTGTCCCCGTGTCTCCGTGTCCCCGTGTCTCCGTGTCCCCGTGTCTCCGTGTCCCCGTGTCTCTGTGTCCCCGTGTCCCGTGTCTCCGTGTCCCCGTGTCCTCTGTGTCTCCGTGTCCCCCGTGTCTCTAGACGATCGACTGCTGTCGAGACAAAGTTGAGAGCTTGGAATTCACGTCGAACTTCTCGCTGAAAATCACTCAGACGGGCTCCTGCACGGTACCCACGCGTCTATGTGTCTGTGTGTGTGTGTCTGTGTGTCTGTGTGTGTGTATCTGTGTGTGTGTATCTGTGTGTCTGTGTGTGTGTGTGTCTGTGTGTGTGTCTGTGTGTCTGTGTGTGCGTCTGTGTGTGTGTCTGTGTGTGTGTCTGTGTGTGTGTCTGTGTGTCTGTGTGTCTGTGTGTGTGTGTGTGTCTGTGTGTGTGTGTCTGTGTGTCTGTGTGTCTGTGTGTCTGTGTGTGTGTGTCTGTGTGTGTGTGTCTGTGTGTGTGTCTGTGTGTCTGTATCTGTATGTCTGTGTGTCTGTGTGTGCGGAGCTGAGTGGACTTGCCGATGACTGGTACCAGCAGTGTCAAGATCGGCCTCAGTGGAGGAGGCTCGTGAAGGATGCTACTGGGCAGTTGGAGGCATTCTATGGGCAGTGTTGAGTCTATGATCGAACTAAACCCGGGCGACTTCGAGATCTTGCGAGCCTGCAGCGTTCAAACTCATTACGGGGTGGGGGGGGGTGGAGGGATAGGGGGGGTAGGGGGGGGCGAACATTAATTTTTCCCAGCATGCAATTGAAACCACGCTGTGAATCGCGTGCGTGACGGAGGCGCGTTTAATTAGAAGCTACCCCGATAACCTTGCTTAGACAAAAAAAAAAACTCGTTATATGGAAAGAAACACCCAAAACTTTCTAGTAAAATAACCCCTGAAAACGGTTTAAAAAAGACAAAAAAAAGTTAGAGAGAGAGAGAGAGAGAGAAAAAATAAATCAATTCCTATTTAACAAGAGAGCAGATTACGTGGCAGACGTTTCCTGTAATTTCCGATGCCGCGGCGAGAGACGCCCCAGACTTTGTGTGATTTGAAAATTCTGTCGCGCAGCCAAATGAAAAAATAATTGACAACGCCGACGTTTTTGAGCTTTTTTTTGTGCAAACGATGCACGCGCACACACACACGCGCGCGCACGTGCGTGTGTACGTTCAACTTCATTTGTGCTCGCCGCAAATGAACCACCAATACCTCGCTGAATTTAGCAAGGAGCGGTAAAAACCATCATCACCCGCACTAGGGTCGTCATTCTCGCATCGCCGCGCGGCGCTTTCGGATGTGCTTCTGCGGCCGTCTGGAACGCTCTCTTCCTTCCGTTGATTAGGAAGCCGCTGGAGCTATGCACTTTTAAAAGATCCAGATTTGAAAACTAATTTCTTTACAATTGTGTGGTTGGCTACGTACGGTGACAAAGACGTTCAACATTCATGCGTACGTACGTAGCCTCTGACAGGCTATTTGGGGCAAGTGCTGTTAGCGAGTCGCAGCTACGAAGGACGGCACGGTGCACGAGGGAGGGAGCACGGCCAACGTTGGGTCAACGTTGGGTCAACGTTGGGTCAACGTTGGGTCAACGTTGGGTCAACGTTGGCACGGTGCACGAGGGAGGGGGCACGGCCAACGTTGGGTCAACGTTGGGTCAACGTTGGGTCAATGTTGGGTCAACGTTGGCACCGTGCACGAGGGAGGGGGCACGGCCAACGTTGGGTCAACGTTGGGTCAACGTTGGGTCAACGTTGGGTCAACGTTGGGTCAACGTTGGCACGATGCACGAGGGAGGGGGCACGGCCAACGTTGGGTCAACGTTGGGTCAACGTTGGGTCAACGTTGGGTCAACGTTGGGCCAACGTTGAGGACGTGGCTGATGGATCATCGTGACGATGACGATGACTGCGACGTGGCCGACGATGGCTTCGATGACGACGATCGTGACGACGACGATGACGACGACGATGACGACGACGATGATGACGATGATGACGACGATGATGACGATGACGGTGGGGCCAGGTCACCACACGCATGGGGGATTGAACTCGACTTTCCCCCGGGACGGATCGTGAGTGAAGGAGAGAGGCCCCAAGGCTTTCGCGACCAATATTATTCATAGTAAAGTTTATTTTTGGGTTAGATCGCGTTAGTATAAATGTTAAGTCGTAACTCTATACCACGCGACGCAGCCGATTTGCCCGTTGATGCTGGTTGATGTTATTAGCAGCGAAATGTTATGGTATTCGAATTGTAAATGTTGTGGATTTACTCTCCAACACTCTGGTGGGCTGAAGTAGTATACTACACTATACACTACACTATACACTACACGCTATACACTACACTATACACTACACTATACACGACACTATACACTACACTACACGCTATACACTACACTATACACTACACTATACACTACATGCTATACACTACACTATACACTACACTATACACTACACTACACACTACACTACACACTACACTACATACTACACTATACACTACACTATACACTACACTATACACTACATTATACACTACACTATACACTACACTATACACTAATATACACTACACACTACACTATATACTACACTATACATTACACTATACACTACACTATACACTACACTTTACACTACACTACACACTACACTATACACTACACTATACACTACACTAGTAACTAATTGGTGTGTTTTGTCTACGTAACAAATCTCTTACCGATTGGCCGTGTCGGGTGGTGGAGGGTTTCGACACAACATTTACACTCACGCGATCGAACCCAACAAACCTTAATCGTCAACATCCGCTCGGCGCACTTTCGAACGCAAACGACGACGACGACAAGAAAAATTACTTCCCAGTAACAACAACAAAAAAACCTGGAACGGAGGCAGCCTCTATAAACTGGCCTGGATCACCCCAAGAAAAAAAATCAATGATCATAATGTTTTAACTCATTCCATCTCGCACACACGCACGCACACGCACGCACGCACGCACGCTCGCTCTCTCACACTCACTCGCTCTTTCAAAATAGATCGTTAATTCCTAACGACCTTCGGCGAGAGAGAGTATAAATAATTACGATTTTAGTTGTACACATGTCTGCGTTGAGTGACGTACGCGTGGAAGTTGCTCCATCAGGATTCCCGATCCGCCCGTGAGCTCTAGGGCGCGTGGCGACGCCGCTCATTGTGACCAATCATCCGGCAAGGGTGGATAAAACGACTCAACACCGCGCCATAGACTCAGCACTACCCATAGACTCGACACTGTCTAAAGACTCAACACCGGCCATAGACTCAACACTGCACCATAGACTCAACACTGCCCATAGACTCGACACTGCACCATAGACTCGACACTGCACCATAGACTCGACACTGCACCATAGACTCAGCACTGCACCATAGACTCAGCACTGCACCATAGACCCAGCACTGCCCATAGACTCAGCACTGCACCATAGACTCAACACTGCACCATAGACTCAGCACTGCCCATAGACTCAGCACTGCACCATAGACTCAACACTGCACCATAGACTCAGCACTGCACCATAGACTCGACACTGCACCATAGACTCAGCACTGCACCATAGACTCAGCACTGCACCATAGACCCAGCACTGCCCATAGACTCAGCACTGCACCATAGACTCAACACTGCACCATAGACTCAGCACTGCCCATAGACTCAGCACTGCACCATAGACTCAACACTGCACCATAGACTCAGCACTGCACCATAGACTCAACACTGCACCATAGACTCAACACTGCACCATAGACTCAACACTGCACCATAGACTCAACACTGCCCATAGACTCAACACTGCACCATAGACTCAACACTGCCCATAGACTCAACACTGCACCATAGACTCAACACTGCACCATAGACTCAACACTGCCCATAGACTCACACTGCACCATAGACTCAACACTGCACCATAGACTCAACACTGCCCATAGACTCAACACTGCCCATAGACTCAGCACTGCCCATAGACTCAACACTGCACCATAGACTCAACACTGCCCATAGACTCAACACTGCACCATAGACTCAACACTGCCCATAGACTCAACACTACCCATAGACTCAACACTGCCCATAGAATCAACACTGCCCATAGACTCAACACTGCCCATAGACTCAACACTGCACCATAGAATCAACACTGCACCATAGACTCAGGATTTCACCGTGAGAAACTCACCGTGGGGATCTCACCGTGGGGATCTCACCGTGAGGATTTCACCATGAGCCCACGGCTTGCCGCATTTGGGCCTTCTGTCCAATTTTTTTTAAATTGTCGTAGTAGTTCGTACCGTATTTTTATTGTGGTAATTAGTATTATATTTTTATTACGGTAATTAGTACTATATTTTGATTGTGGTAATTAGTACTATATTTTTATTGTGGTAATTAGTACTATATTTTTATTCTGGTAATTAGTACTATATTTTATTGTGGTAATTAGTACCATATTTGTATTGTCGTGGTAATAGTGCTATATTTTTTATTGTGGTAATTAGTGCTATATTTTATTGTGGTAATTAGTACTATGTTTATATTGTGGTAATTAGTGCTATGTTTTTATTGTGTTAATTAGTACAATATTTTTTATTTTCGTGGTAATTAGTGCTATTATTTTCATCAAGCAACGGCAGATAAAGACATGACCATCAGGCCTGAATAAAGTGTGGGGTAGCAGAGAGCTGTGATGAAAATGGCCCAAAATCTTTTGTTTTTTATTTTACAATTAAAATCTAATATATAGAATTTTTGTTATGGTCGTTGGAGCGTGGTGTGCGCGTGTGCGAGCGCACGTCTGATTTTCTAATCGTGGATTTGCCATCCCGTGAACATGGCGCGCTGATGGCCCAGTCACCTTGAATGGGGCGCCGTGATGGTTATGAGATGTTAACTACCTCGCCTGGTACACAGGAGGTCGTGGGTTCGATCCTGAATCTGACGCTGCTGCATATTTGGAATTTGCGTCTCATCATCATCATCACGGTAGCTAGGAGATGTTAACTACCTCGTCTGGTACGCAGGAGGTCGTGGGTTCGATCCTGACCCTGACGCCTGCTGTGTATATTTGAAGTTTCCGTTTCTCATCATCATCACGGTGGCTAGGAGATGTTAACTACCTCGCCTGGTGTACAGG